ACAGGCAGGCCAGTCTAAATTTTATTTTATTATTGACCAATCAGAACTTACCTTTTTATTCAGTTTGGATAAAGCGGAAGTAAGGCAGTCTAGCGAAATTCTTAGGCACTTGGGGGTATAAAAACAACTTTTTCTTCGAAGGGACGGTATTTGAAGCGGAACGAAACAGTAAATATTTTTAAAGTAAGTTATATCTGAACGATTAATCGCGTCAAGTTTTCTGAGAAAGGCCTACAATACCCCAAACCCGAATTTGCCTCAAAAAGAGTGTCCTACCCTTCTTTTTTATACATACACATACTATATATTTACATTAACTTCCAGTGCCTGTGATTCAATCGCAGCTAGGAAGGCCCATGAAATTAATGATGACCCGATGATCCAAATATCTTGATAATGTTCTGCAACGAAAAAGGGGATAGATTTTCAAGCTTTAATTCTATTTGACTGCTGGGATCCTAATATATAGGCGATAACAATCTGACTTCCACCTTCCTAATATTTTGATTGTTTCGTCATCAACACCCTGAGAATGAAAGTATGTAGCTGCTCCAATTCTAAAGGAGTGTAATTTATAGTTGCATCTAGATAAACTGAGACGCGCGAGGCATTTACTTAAGACGGAATTAAATTGATATCTAGTTAGCGGTTTACCGCCGAAATGACAAAATAATTGACCAGAAATGTTTGGTCTTTGTTGTAAATAATTGCGCATTAGTAATAACGGACAATAAGGACCGCTGATAGCGGGAATAATTAATTGTGTTCCTTTGCCGTACTGGTCAGTCTTTGACCTCCTAAGGTTGACTTCTAAGTAGGATGAAGGCTCATTCATAACGAGATCGTTATTAAGTAATGCTACATTTGAATTTCTAGAGCCTACTGTAAATTCCCCGACTCGAAGAAAACCAAAAAAGGCCAAGGAAAACGCCGCAGAAAAGAGGCTCGCCTCATAACTCGATGTGCATACAACTGGTAATGTATTAATTAATTTATGGAGAAGCTGAATCGTTATTGGTAAACGTGAGTCTTTGGAGTGTCTTTCTCTCTTCATTCCTTCTACCATTTTCCGAACAATAAAATGTGAAGTATAGTCTGGTAATTCTGATGTGAAAATCTTAATCTTATATGATATAGCTGCTAGATATGTTTTGACAGTGCTCACAGCGTAACCTTTGACGGAAAGAAAAGCAACGAAGTTTGTCAATTCCTCGAGCGATGGAGGCCAAGAATTACGGAGATGGAACTCGGACCTGAACTTAAAAAATAAATCGAGGCCGTTGTTGTATGCCGCTTTGGTGTTTTCTGAGGTGGCCATGTCGATTAATCTAACGGTTTCACTCCTGATATCAGTGAGTGAAATACCGGCGGAATAGGAGTTGACTTTACGTCTGCCTTTGGGGCTAGTTCCTGGAATTTGGTCCACTGTCGACGAGACAAAGCATCAGCAATATTATCACATAAACCAGGGATATGTTCTGCTTTAAATCTAAAATTATATTTCATTGATAGGTATACTAAATAGCGAACAAAGTGCATTACTCTTTTAGATTTTGACGTCTGTTTGTTCAAGATGTATACAAGGGCTGCGTTATCTACTCTTAGTATAACATTTTTTGATCTGAAGTATTCTCCCCACAATGTCATTGCCAGAACTATTGGAACAAGCTCTAAAAAGGTAACATCTCTCAAAATTTCCGTATCCCCCCATGTTGAGGGCCAAGCGAAGTGGGCCCATTTACCGTTTAAATATGCCCCGCACCCTAGGTTCTTACCCCCAGCACTGTCAGTATACAATTGAAGAATATCATTGCTTAACCAATCAACATCATTTAAATAGCATATACCATTAAAGTGGTTCAAAAAATTGAGCCACATGAGCAAATCGTCTTTGATGAATTTTGTTATGCGGATAAAATGATGCTGCCTTTGTACGCCAATCATCGCGTCGTAAAAACGGCGATTAAAGGCGCGGGAAGATCGCACTGCTTTGGTGCAAAAGTTTAATTGGCCCACGAGAGATTGCATCTCCTTCAAAGTGACTTTAGATTTATTTGCCATTTCTGTCAACGAAATCTTAAGTTTGATTAGTTTGTCGTTGGGAATACGGACTTGCCCGAGACATGTGTCAGTTTCCAAACCCAGATAAGTTAATTTTGTGACGGGGCCGACAGTTTTATCGATGGCAAGAGGAATTCCCAGTGCTTTATATAACTCCCCAAATTGCCTCATGAGTCTTGAGCAAGCGTCGGATTTCGCTGAACCAGCAAACAAGAAGTCGTCAAGATAGTGCGTAACATGTGGGCAAGCAGATTGTGACCTGACGGTCCATTCCAAAAAGGACGCGAATTTCTCGAATGTAGCGCATGATATAGAACATCCAAATGGCAAACATTTGTCGATGTAGTATTTACCCTCAAATTTGAAGCCAAGTAAACAAAAATCATCTGGTTGAATTGGTAAAAGTCTAAATGCACTTTTTATGTCCATTTTGCCCAATAAAGCGCCTTTTCCGAGCTGACTTATCATTTCGATAGCGCTGTCGAATGATGAGTAGTGCACAGATGAAAGTTCTTTATCAATGAAGTCGTTAACGCTATTGTTATGTGGATATGACAGATGAGTAATTAAACGCCACCCCAGCTAGACTTTGGTACGACGCCTATTGGAGACGCCCTTAGATTTGAAAGTGGTAAATTGTAGAAAGGGCCGGCCATGCGACCCATATCAATTTCGCTTTGCAATATATTCTGGATTTCGTTCGGATGTTGGTTTGCCGAAATTAAATTTTTACACTCCAAGTGAGTGCGTGGGCCTATATACTGAAGTGAAAATCCAAATTTAAACCCATTTAACAACTCATTGCCTACATCCTGGTTGGGTATGACTGCATTAATATTGCAAGTTGATTAATGTTTACTGGAGAATGACCGAGGTGCGTTAGCCCCCTGGGGGTAGCGAAATCTATAGTTTGGGGATTGCCCTGGGCGTGGTTGCTGATTTGGTGATTGAAAACGAAAAGGCTGCTTTTGCATGGGGAAGCGAGGGGATGGGTTACGAGGACAAGCGGACATTGGGTGGTCAAATGCACACCTGATACAACAATGTGGCTCGTTAATGTCCTCTTCCATGCTGTGGATAGTACTGTTGTCATTTTCCCCCTCTTTTTGGTGGGATTGGGTTGCAGCTTTTTCTTTTCTGGTGGACTTTTTTGCGGATGTAACCACAGTTGCGGACGACTTGGGTGTTATTGTTAATCTTTAGACACTTTTCACTCATTTATTAAGCGGCTTATACATGCATAAAATATAAATTATGGAGATAAGGATAAGTATTCAAGCTCTAAAATCCATAAAACTATTCAAAATAGGAGCAGAGCAAACACAGACCTCCAAAACATTACGCAATTGCCTTTAGCAATGACATTTCCAAAAAGAGTCATCATGATGGTTCAGCAATTAAAACATAATCAGCTATGCATATAGAAGAATGCTATTCATATTAATTGTTCAGCAGAATAAGCAAATATTTCAAATTTTGAAACAGAATTGAAGAAAAAATTGAAGAAAAAAGAATGAGTTTTGTTAGAATGAAAATTGTACTGTGAATTATGAAGATAATAAAATGCTTGTGAAAAGTTAATTGGTAATTACAGAATTTAGTTGTCGTTTTTATATTGAGAAATAATACGAAGAGACAAAACAGTAATTAAATCAGAGGTGGGATCAGGTTCCATGGAGGAGTAAGCATACCGACCTGTCACACTTGCCATGTACTTCGATCTTATGATCGGGCTAGGGGAATAGTACATATATAGAAGACTCAAAGGAAAAATAATGGCCTACCAATTTGTATAGAAAACGTGGGCCAAGACTCGACTTGACGATATATTGCACTTGCAAACAGTGTCATTTTATCGACAATTACATTTGCTAAATGTTGACTTTAGTATGGACTGTTGATATCCACGTATCATCAACTTATTTGTAAATAGTTGGCCTTATGCAATAAATTGCCCATGCAAAAATCTTACTTCTTCGAATCGCACTATAGTGACAGACCTAAACTGAACAGAATACAATGTTGTCACAAAGGAATGCTTATTACAAAGCAAATGCTTAGAAAATTCAAATTATCCTTTAAAATTGTTACTTCTTATTGTTATTAAATACAAGTAACTTACTTTGGTTTAACATTGACATTAGGCCGCCTTTAAAACATTGGTTCCCCTCTCCCGACCGACTGACTAAAAATGGCACGTCTCAAAACTTTTTTTTTCACATTCACGAACCCTATATTTTTTCTTTTAATTTTTCTTATCATGACAGCAAATATGTTGAAATTGTCTGGAAAAAATAATGTGCCACCCACCTACAGACCCAATTATTTTACCCTGAGTCGGGAGAGGGATTTAGCAAACATTATTCTAAATATGGCCTTACCATGGAGTGCTATATAAATCTAATTAAAACTCGAGACCCATATACGAGAGGTTATCAAAAAGTCCTGCAAGTAGTATAGTGTGAGGGAATTTAGACTTTGGGCGTATACTAGTATTCCCTCACACTATACTACTCCTGCACCATAATATTAAGACCGTTTAGGGTATATCAATGACTTTTTACACATCTAATTAACACCATATTTTATATCGATAGAATAAACAGATTTTATTTTTTGAATATTTTAATGCTTTTTGTAAGCAATGGTATGTCCAGGCGGCACAAGCTCAAAATAATGGAGAAAAACTTTAAATATAATGTGTATATTGATTGCTATTTTCATTAATTCTTAAAAGACATTATTTTCCTTCTCCATTTAGCCAAATCATGCAAGAATAAAAACTGTGTTTAAAGATTATGATTAATATTTATTAGCAACATTGCGGAATATGTTGTAATACCTTTTGTTGTTATTTTTGTTCGATAATTCTAGCGGAAATATCGAGCAAATCTCGCGGAAATATCACATGAACAGCAATGAGTTCAACAATATTAATGCTAATGCAAAAGAACAATGAACAGGATTTTTGATATTTTGATTTTAGTTTATGTTTTAACCGAGTGTGCCCAATGTACACGGCACCACGAATTTTCTTATGGCGGACATTTGTATGGTATGTATACTTCAAATGAATATTTTTTTAATTCTTTTCAGAAAAAAAATTCTCCCATCAATAACTCTTTAAACTTCCTATATATTCCTAATTTATTTCAATTCTTAAAAATCCCCTTTACCATTTTTTCTGAGTCCTAATTCAGATGAAAGGCAACCATTTTACACCGTAGTAAACTAATACTCGTATACAGTTTAGTCTAGAAACGTAACAATTGTCCAAGTGAATATGTATGGGACAAAAAAGCGTTTGGTTAAAGACATACTGTATACAGGGAAATTTTCGCCCCCGTTTTATTTTCGCCCCTTTCGCCGTACCCTCATTTGGGCGAATTTAAAACGGGGCAAATTCAAAGAATACAGTAGTATTTCTTAAACAAAACTATGACTGGGCGAATTTAAAACGGGGCAAAATTGTTTGCCAGCGTGAAAGGGCGAAAATAAGACGGGGCGAAAATAACCCTGTATACAGTATTCAGTAGGGAATGGGAGGCTCGTATTAAAAAAAGATACACGTAACTGAATACCAACCTATTTGTAGGACCCACAAAATGGGGCGTGACATGGCGTGAATGTAATGGAGAAAACCAGTCCCCTATTGACCTGCAGTCCTCCAAATGTAAAAAGAAACAATTCAGAGTGAAGTTCAACAACCATGGCGAGAAATGTGACGGATATCTCATAAATAACGGTAACATAGCGTTAATAAAGCTTTTAGTTGTTATTAATTTTGATGTCAATTTTTAAAATTAGTAGAAATATTACAACAGAAAAAAAAATACATTTCAAGCCAACACATTTAACACCAAATATAATAATTTTTCATTCATCGAAATAAGTATATATGAAATATATGGAGATAACGAACAGTATCCAAGATCAAAAGTCCATAAAACAAAACAAAATAGGAGCAGAGCAAACACGGACCTCCTAAACATCAGAGGTGGGATCAGGTGCCATGGAGGAGTGAGCATGCCCTGCCGACCTTGTCATGATCGGGAAATAACGGAAAAATCACTTACGAAATGATGACTTTAAACGAGACTGCTGATAGTCTTGTTTCATCAACTTGTTTGTCTATAATTTACCTCGTTTTAGAAATTGTTCATACGTACTGCGTTTCTTACTCATAGTATGTTTGAAAAGACGTATTTTTCAAAGAAAGGTGGTTTGTATGATACATGAAGAGGTTAACTGCAGGATTTAACGCTGCGAAACTTCTAGCATGAAATATGGAAATACATGTAATAACGAAAAATAATCCAGCCCCAAAAGTTGAATTAAAACAATACTAATCGGGAGCGAATATATAAAACATGGACCTTAAAATTATCAGTTGGGATCAGGTGCCATATAAAAGTAAACATTCCATGTCGACTGGTCACCCCTTCCTTATTCTTCGTGTTGTGATCAGCATTAATGATATATTGCTTTTGCTGACAAAGTCATTGTATCGACCATTAAACTTGCAAAATGCAAAATAAAACGAGACTATTGATACCCTTAATTGTTTCATCACTTTAATGTTTGTATATTTGTAAATATCTAGTTTTAGATATTTTTCGTACTAAGAGCATTATGAAAAATGATGACTTTAATTGAGACGACTGCTGATATTCCTATTTCATTAACTTGTTTGCCAATAATTAACCTCGTTTTAAAAATTGTTCATACATGGAGCATGTTCTTGCGTATAGAATGCACTGAGGGATATAAACTCCGTATGATGGCGATGAAGGTATTTAGCTGCATAAGTAAGGAAAGTTGACGATTGGAACGGTAGTCATCACATTTATCATACAACTTAGATTATCACTGGCGTCTTTTTCAAGAAAAATATGTGAGCCAATACACTTTATCATTAAAGTCAAATGATGACTGGCATTCATCATATCATTGTTTTTACCCCGAGTGAATTGTGCTTTTTTTCTGTTTTTCTGATCATGACAAGGAGCACACGTCGGCCGGTGTGAAAAATCGACAGGGGATGCTTACTCCTCTATGGCACATGATCCCACCTCTGAATTATAGAGCTTCTCCATATATATTTGTATTGTTATAGACTTTCGAGCCTGAATGCTTCCTATATGAAAACTTGTAGGTTTAATTAACGCATTACATATTTTTATTCTCTCGTGCAAAAAGGACACGCCCCTACGTTTGTTGTCAGGAAATGTAACAAGAAGAAATTCATCACTGGAATCCCGTATTACCCGAATGTAGACTATCAGCTGGCCCAGTGGCATTTCCACTTCGGTTCAAAAGGAGACTGGGGAACTGAACACGCCATTAATGGCAAAAGATACTCCGCCGAGGTATACTACCGTATGTCACACCTGAAATGCAAGGGTGATGTTTTTTCTTCTTTTAATAAAAAGGGCTTTAAATGCATGGGATTTGCAATGAAATAAATAAGCTTTTCAAAGGCATATTCTTAAAATTAGAATTATCTCTCCTGCTAAATAACCGTGAATAAACATTATACGTATAGTTTAGAAACTTCGTAGACCAAAAGTGGAACAATTTATGTCCATGGAAAATTTAATGCTAAATAAAATATGTTTTAAATTTTGTTGTATTCTTAGCTTCACATGGTTCATTTCAATACCAAGTATGGAACTGTGACCAATGCTATTGATAAGAAAGACGGTATAGCAGTCGTTGCTATTTTATTTAAGGTACCCTCTTTCTCTCTCTCCTCTCTCAATGTTCCAAAATGTGAGAAAATAAGAATTTTTTAAATGAATTGTGTATTGTACTATATATATTTTTTGCAACTTGAAAAAAAAATGTACAAATTGAAGTAAATGTTATTCTAAGAATCATTTCAGTAAGATTTAATAATTATCAATTGATATCATCTTAATTCCAACACCAGGAAAGTCGGAAATCCCGACTCTCACCAGTGGACTTATTTTTCCGGAAGTATGGCTCCCACGTGTTTCACCCAGGTAAGATAGGTGCTTCTATATATACCGGTATTGTAAAGGCATAGGAAAAGCACACAACTAATGATTAACATTCTACAGATCTAGCGCAGAAGAAATATATACTACAATTAACGAACAATAATCATGAAAGTAATATTTACATGTAACTGGTGAAGAGATTTATCAATCGAAGAATGAAAGGTATTTTTCGTGAAAAAGACTGACGAGGCAGCTAGCGTAGGAATTTGAATATTTTTTTATTTGCATTAAGGTGGGGAAGAGTGAACTTCTTTTAACGTTAACTATGGTTTCTTTAACGTACTACATACACAATTTTTTTTTCTATTCATTTCTTGTAATGTTGTATTTACTTATGATGAATGGAACTATATCTTGTCGGAACAATTGTGTGAAGCGACCCTGATTTTGGTCAAATATCTTGAATAGTAATCACTGATCATATATATTAAAAAGGTCAAAGGTACCCAAAGAAAGGTCTTGTTACAAGGAATACACCTGTGAAATATGAAAGCCCTAGTTCTAACTGTTCAAAAATTTGTAGCGAAGGTTAAAGTTTTACAAAAAGTGGTTGAAACTCTAAGGTCAAGGTCAAAAATATTTATACTAACTGAAAGGTGAATTATGAATGGCCAAGATCAAAGTGTGGTATTTTTTGTGAAAGGTCAAACTCCAAGATCAAGGTGTCGAATTTGGTGGTACTCGAAGAATGGTTTAGTGACAAAGAATACACCTGTGACCTATATTTATGCGCCCGGATCGATAGATCTGGGGCGTATAATGTTTTTGTTCTGTCTGTCTGTTTGTTTGTTTGTTTGTCTGCAAACTTTAACCTTCGCCATAACTTTTAAACCATGAAAGATAGAGACTTCATATTTAGTATGAATACTCCACTAATGAAGCTCTTTCAAATGACACCAAGGTCAATGACATTGTGACCTTGACTGCAACCTACATGCTAAAAATAGATTTTTCTGCAAAATTTAACCTTCGCCGTAACTTTTTAACCATGAAAGGTAGAGACTTCTTATTTTGTATGCACAATCTACTAATTAAGTTCTTTCCAATGATACCAAGGTCATTGACCTTGTGACCTTGACCTATATGCTAAAAATAGCTTTTTCGAACTTTGTTGCCGCCGGGCGCATAGTGTTTCACAAACACATCTTGTTTTTTTTATCGAATTGTTACAGGACATGCAGTCAAGGCGGTGTTTAATCCTGTAGAATGTATTCCTAAAAATAACCGTATGTTCTTCTATAAGGGATCACTAACGACGCCCGGATGTTACGAGAGTGTTAACTGGCTGGTTTTCAAACAGATCTTGGATATATCACCAAGAACAGTAAGAGTTGACAAAAATTCCTAACCTTCAAGAATATTGCAGGGTTTTTTTTAAGTGCATAATTCAATTAAACTACCCGGTACTTCAATTTTCAAACTGAACTTGAATTGCATTAAATTTTGATTTGATGAAATAAAATTTAAAATGATTTATTACATAATACACTATCTAATACATGTATATTGATATCAAAAGGATATTAAACAAAATTTTCTCTTTCTTTATAAAGATAAAACGATACTTTAATTACGTATATTCTTCAAAATCATTTTATCCCACTAGATGGCGTATTTCCGGAAACTGAAAACTTTTCATCATGAAGCCCCCATTGCCCAACTGACCAACCTGCGACCACTACAGACACTGGGCAAAAGGAAAGTGTACTGTAACACCTGAACACGGAATAAAATAAATCGAGAAAATGAGATGTCTGAAATATAAACTGAACGAATGTTTGGAGGCTCAATTTTTGCTGTAAAGTGATGACAAACGTTACACGTTTCACACACTGCATTAATCGATGTATAAACATGCAATCAAATACGGAAGAGCATGCTAGGACTCAGTAGTTTAATCCCAGCCACCACCACCCAACCTTTTACAAGGTTTTTGTCAAAAAGACTAAAACCGACAAAAATAATCTAAAAAGTGAATTGGAATCAGGAATGCAGGTTGACTATCGACGATGTTTATTTTTTAAAATAATAAAAGACACACTAGTTTTAGATTAAACGATATTGGGTCAGAAAAATTCGCTATCACTCTAGGCGTCTGACAAGGATTAATACTTTGGTCATTGTTGTTTATTCTGTATGTTAAAGCTAAACATGACTCGTAAATTATAGGCATACGCCATATTCTATCATATTATCTACGATATCAACACAGGGGATATACCCTTAGCATTTGTTACACCTGCTTTATTGTCACGGGTGTCGGCGTGAAATGGTGACATATGTTCATGCAGGTTATCTTACATTGCATTTGTTGTTTATACATGTCTTGTTGCAGTTACGTGTATTTGTGTTTTTTCATTTATATACTGCACTGTTTCATTCGTATCTTTCTCTCCTGCGGTGCTCAGTATTTTTTTTTTAGGCTACTAAGAGCTATGTAGCATACGTCCGCCTGTCTACACATGTGACACCTCATTACACTGAACAGTAACTGAGCAGCTTATAAAGGGGCTCTCAGGTATAGCAAGTGAATAAAGGAATATGGCAGAGAAATTCCTTTTACGAATTGTGTTCAGCTGTAATGACTATTGCGTTAGACTGCAAAATATTTACTCCTTACACCATAACTCCAGAACAAACCCTTTAACCATTGCACCTTGCAATAAACTAGAATTTTTGATATATCTAAATATAAAACTTAAGGTCAGAGATTTTTTATTAAATATTTTTTTCGATATGAATACAAAAACTGGTCTGCTAATAACCGTCAAATTATTTCTCATGTGAATTCAAACAGGTTTTAGAAAACCTGAGCTCAATAAACCCAATCATCTTTTAAATATCAATGAATCAGGAAGATTTTTAAAAATAAGTCGGCAGATGCCAAATGACAAGGTAAGTTAAACTAATCTCTCACTTGTAAAGAAGATGGGGGGATAAGGCGGGCAGAATGCCTATAGCACGAAAGATAAGAAGTGAAAATTTTAATCTCAATTATATCCAAATTTTATGTCACATTTCATCTAATATTAAAGTATACTTAATTTAAAATCTCTATAATTTACAAAAATCTCACAAAGACTTAAAATATTTGCCTATGAAAAGCATACACAGACTTAACAGAACAAAAATGACCATTTTTTCATACTTTAACATTTTTCAATATGAGTGGGTCTTCGCTCCATTTTTTTTGAAAGATAATCCTAAAAGTTTGCAATAAAATAAGTATTTTTTGGTTTACAAAAAAATGGAGTGAAGACCCACTATACCTTAAAAGTACACTTTTATGACAAAACATTCGCATCTTTCCGAGAAATACTTCAAGTCCATTAAGTCAAGGGTCATATCACAAACATGATTTAAATGCCCCTACTCATCATGAGCCATGTAGCATAGTGGTTAGAGCGTTAGTCTCAAAGCAGTATAATATTTCGGTATTTTATTGCTGGGGTTCGAATCCCACGTATACCATCGAATATCTTTATAAATGAAATTTTTTAAAGAGATTTATTTTCTCTCTGAAAATGTTTTTTTTTCTCATCATTTCATAAATTTCAATAATGAGAAGTAAATTTAAATACTCAATTTACATATCAAATTTGATTTCTTGATATCTGATGCTATAGGCATTCTACCCACCTTATCCCCCCATCTTTACATGATGAACACTTTCTTGAAAATATTCAGAACTTAATATGTCAAGCTTTAGTTACTGTAGTACCAAAACTGATCAATGATGTACATATACATATGGAGTACATACAAAGGATGTCAGAAAGGTTGATGTACATAATACATGTAAAAAGAATCTTATTTTTCAACGTGCATGGTGATCAATTCCAAATTATCTTTTTCCAAGTTGCTGCTGCATGTGAATGCTATTCTATGTGAATGTACACATGCACGTACATGTAGTGTCTCTGCATCTTTTCAGTTTCTTTCCCTACAAACTAAAAATAAAACCCACTTAGTAATGAAGATATGTATAGATAAATCCATTCCATGCTTCAAATTATAAACATAAATCCTGAAAATCCATAATTCTATTTTAAGGACAAACACATCAAAGTGGAATTTTTCACAGGAGTACCTCAGTGTCCTACTAACTGACTGGTTTCCATGGACTGAGATCAGTCATTGTTAGGTATAACCAGCACATCTGCAACACAGCACAATAAAAATAAACAATCTGCAAATTATCTTATATATAACAATAAGGAATTCTACAAAATAGTGTTATCTCACCTTTGAAATAAATAAAAACAAAACTTCCATTTTGTTTCATCATTTGCAATACATCATTTAATTGCATGTCAGGAGATGAACAGACTTTATGCTGCCCTTGGATTCTGTGTCTTCAGTAGAAAACTATCCATTTAATCTATCATCTACAACAAAACCTGATTTTAGTGGGAAGCTACACATTTAAAGTTAACATGTCACAAACATTTTATTATTAAAAGGCAGTGAAAAAATTCATAACTCAATTGAAGGTCCATGTTACCTTTGCTGGTTCTCATGTCTGTCATTTTGTCCTAAACTGGTGGTCTTCCCATGTATTGTCATACAGTATCCGTCAAAATTGCCAACCAATACATATTAAATAAGACTGGTGCATTTTTTATTGATGATGTGCATAAGCAATTACAATTCCTACATAACTCTGAAGATTTATCTCAAAATCTATGGCTTTTTTAAAAATATAATTTGCAAAAAAAAAAAAAAAAAAAAGAATGTAAATTTTATTCAAATAGAAACTGAAAATGCTTCATGTGTTTGATGCAACATCACAGAATCTGTGTATAAAACGTAAATAACATCTACTATATACAACAGACCAATTTAGATTTTAAACCTCAGTCATATTAATTACCGAAAAGAAATCAGCATCTAATGCATTAATAAATGAAACCTGTAAGTTTTCTTTCTTTGAATTTATGTGTAATGATGGAGCTACACAAATGCTTCAGAATAGTTGTTTATTCACAACAAATCATAACATAAAATGACTCTAATGATACAGAGCAGGCAAAACCCTGACTAGGGTTTACTTACCCACTATCCAACATGAAATGAATGATCAATGAAATATGATACAATATAGAAGCAATATCAAACTGCATGACAAGCAAGGTTTCTATGATCATGATGATAATATTCTTGTCTTTATGAATTTTCTCTTTTTTTTTCTTCATTAAAAGAATCACACATTTTATGTACACTTAAGCTAAAGATGAAATGAAATAATGACAGTCAAAACTAATATGGAATTTTAAAGATGAAAGTCCATTAATATTGAGAAAAATAGATGAAAACTCAAAAATCATTTTGTTTCATTTTGTCCTGTATAGTACCATAACCCTTAAAGAGGTCAGATGTATTGTCAAGAGTTATTTCCCTTTGTCATCCTTTGTCATCCAGAGTGGTCTTTCTTGGTATCCAGATGTAAACAATGTCGTCGTCAGTCGTAAAATTCTTCAGGTCACGAGTTATCTGCGGTAAACATAATGATTAAATCAAACACCTGCTGCATTTGTCTTCATATCTGATTTATGAGAAGAAAAAAGCTTGTACAAAGATTGAATGATAATTTTTTATATATATAATTTTTTTCCCACAAGATATTTGAAGTAATTTAGGTTTTTTTTATGTGTCAATAGGTTTGTACCCTTTTTGTAAAAACAGGTGTGTTTAAAAAATAAATTATATTACACCTGTGAAAATTTTTTCCTAAACTTCAATGCATAGTAGGATTTCTTAAGGTGGCTCATTACATCCACAGTTTATTTAAGATTTCATTACAGCGCCACTTATAATGAAGATGTCAAATATCGAGAACGAGGTATTGATATCATAAATATTTTTTAGAGAATTTTTTAGCTTTTTTCTAATTTAAGTGGAAGATTTTATTTCAAGTTTATTATTACCAGAATTTCAGAACTTTCAGTGTCAAATGATGGGCATCTTCTTTAGACAAGTACACACAGTGAAAATACCTCATAATACCTAATATTAATTTTATTAGAAAAAATAATTTTCTCCTAAAAAACAATTATTGTCATTATTTTTTTAATCTGTGCACAAAACATTAAGAAAATGAGTTCTGAAGAGACAAGGAATGTATTTCAATGAATTACATGTGACAAATTGAATGAAGAATGTTTAAACGAGATGAAAATTCCAATTTAAAAAAATATGGGTATAAAATGTCCACTTTCAAGAGTTATCTTTCCTAATTAGCCAAGACTCAAAACACTAAAGAACGTTTGAACATTACATCTAAAATTCAGAACAAAGCTTTAAATTGCCAGAGTATAAATTTAAATCAATAAAGCAAATATATAAATTAACACCAACACAGTAAATAGTGCAAGTAAATAACTTTTTTAATTTCAATAAGGTTGTAGATTTTAACTCGAATTTCCTCCATACAAACTTGTCATTGATATAGCATGCATCGCTATGAAATTACACAACACCTGTTTGGCGAAGATTTGGCTGTTGTTTTCTGATGTTTCTGCTTAAAAGCAATCCTTCTTGGTCTATGCATAATGAATCCGTTACTTTGTTTTCACAGTTTATAACACTGCATGTTTCATCTATTTTTAACGCGTTTTAAAGGTCAGGGTCATATTATAGAGGTACCTGTAACAATTCGTCCCCAGAGGAAAACGGTCGAAACAATGGAGGTTTATTTTTTTGTGTAGTACGTCATCAAAAAGTGGTGTAATGAGCCTCCTTAATTAAGTTACTAATATTTTTAAAATAACAAAGTTTTGTAAACAATTCTGACCTGCAAATTCCATTTTTTTTTACATAAATGTGTTTGAATGTTTGAAAAAAAAAAAAAAAAACTTTAGAGACCCAGTGAAATTCTTAATCACCAGACATGAATATCGACTAGACTAAGTCCTGATCTTTTTGATTTTTTACATTATTAACAAAGTTCCTTGTCAAACTTTGCCAGAACTGGCAAGCTTTTTTTGAATACATGTAAATACATAGATTTATTTATCAATTTTTCTCTCACTTTATACTAAAAAATTGTTCAAATTCAATGTACATTGTCATTCTTGTGTCTCAGACATTCTTAACGCAGGAAAAGGTATTATTTCAATATTTTAAATATAATGCATTACTCTATCATTATGATGCAAATATACCAATTTATTTTCATTCAACAGATTGTTATATTTCGTTTTGACTGACACTAGTATTTAATACATCTGACTGACTGTACACTACTCACCCTCTAGGTTCTGGCTTTTTTGGAGGGTTCCTCCTCATCTGGTCCCCGCTGTGGTTCAGCCTCCAGAACTTTCAGTCTATTTCCAGCCAAATTCTGGCCATGTAAAGTCTGGATGGCTTTCATAGCGCTGTCTTTGGTAGCAAACTTTGCATACCCATAGTTACGTGCTGTAAAAAGATGTATAGCTTTTTTAATGCTGTAAACTAAAATTGAAAAGGCAATGTTTTAAACTATGTGTAGTTCACTATTTGGTCATTTTAAAGAAATAACCACAAGACAGGACAGAGCATTTTTTTTAGTTCGAAATTCATGCATGTTAATTAATACAGCATATTTGACAGTGCTGAAAACAACATGGTCATGAAATGTCTTTTGGGCTGCACATCATATTCCCTATACGACAAAAGGAAGAGAAGCTACTTCCATTATTCATTCCTTACCTGGCAACAAATACACGTCAATGAGATGGCCCATCCTACAGAAGGCGTCCCTCAGGACTTTCTCGGGGATCCCCGAGGGCTGACACACGATGAACAGTCTCTGGGCCACGTCTGTGTCCTCCGGTAACATCTGCTTGGGCGGGGGGAGAGGAATGGAACAGTATGGCACGCGCTCAAAGTTGTAACTCGTGTTAAGGATGGTCTCAGGATTCAGGCCTGCCCTCTCCAGCACAGCTGCGGCCTAGTGAAAAAAAAGTTATTAGAATATTTCCTTATTTCAGAATATATATAATATTGTTGCTGAGTTTAAATTGATGTCACACATAAAAGTGATTTACAGTACACTTAAATACGCTTATAGCGAAATCCATAGGACATGCAATATTGATTCCTTATAACATGTATAAACGTAATTCATTAGATCCATTAAGATAACAATATGCATATATTGACTGAGTTCAAGGGTAACATGTGTTTTGCTGGACGCAAGAACCAAACTGTCTGCCTAAAGCCATTAGGCCGAAGGCAGACAGTTTGGTTCGAGGGTCGACAAAGGCATTTTGCTCGAGAACATAGTCAATAAATGTTTTTTTACCTTCCATTTTATATTTTTTTTGGACATGCATGTATTTTGTACTGTCTTCAATGATGTAAGCTCAGATTTATCACTTTTGAACACCAAAGAATAACAAGAGGCCCATGGGCCACATAGCTCACCTGAGAAGCTTTGACCATGCTGTTCTTTAGTAGATTTCGCCTTTGTAATACATATTGCGACCCCACCCTACCCCACTGATCATAATTTAGACAATTTGAAATCTACACTCTCCCAGGAAGCTTCCACATAAGTTTCAGCTTTTCTGGCCCAGTGTTTCTTGAGAGGAAGATTTTCAAAGATTTTTCCTATATATTTTTTCCTATATATTTCTATGTAAAACTTTGATTCCCCATTGTGGCCCCACCCTACCCCCAGGGGTCATGATTTGAACAATTTAGAATCTACACTACCCCAGAATGCTTCGACACAAATTTCAGCTTTTCTTGCCCAGTGGTTCTTGAGAAGATTTTTTAATGACCTCACCCTATTTTTGTCTTTTCTTGATTATCTCCCCTTGTGAGGGGACTTGGCCCTTCATTTTTACAATTTAAATTTCCTTTCCCCCAAGGATGCTTTGTACCAAGTTTGGTCAAAATTGGCCCTGCGGTTCTTGAGATAAAGTCGAAAATGTGAAAAGGTTACAGACGGACGGACAGCTGGACAGCTAGACAGCTGGACAGACCGATGGACAAAAAAAATGTGATCAGAAAAGCTCACTTGAGCCTTTGGCTCAGGTTAGCTAAAAATGAGGTTAAGCTCCGCCAATTCTTTGATGTAAGCGGTCCAAAATCTCAACGACCGGTCCAACATCTCACTCAGCGGTTCAACATCATATTTTTATTGCCCGCTCAGCAAAACATTAGAAATGTTAGATTTTTTTTCGTATAGATTTGTATAGGAACAAATTTTTAAAGGTATTCCACAGGGATTGAAAATCACTTTGTTGAAAGTGTGAATTCATTAAAAGCATGTTAACAATCTTTTACTGTACAACGAATAAAGCCTCCTACCCTCCTAAGAGTCTCATTCTGCCCATCATTGGGAGGCCCTCCACCTCGTGGGCCAGGGTAACCACCATAGCTCCTGAAAACAAAATATTTTTAAAATTTCACCAAAATTTCTTGCCAAAAAAAAAAATCACTCAACATTAAATTCATCATTAATGGTACTTATGCCCCCCCCCCCCCCATTACAACTGTTTATAGCACTTTGGGTCCATCATCTATTTGTAGTACTTACGGGTCCATCATCTTAGGTCCCCCCATTGGGGGCCCTTCCATTGGTCTCTGTTCATCAGCAAACCTCACCATCAGACGACTGCCGATAGGATACTCGAACCCATTGAGCTTATCTCGAGCATAGGCTGCACACTGAGCACTCACATAGCGAGCATAGGCCACACCTATATCAATATATTAAAGTGTTAACAGTTGAAGAGGCTGAAAATCACACAATTTCTTAAATTTTACAATCACAAAATTACTGATGTTATTGTAAAATCACACAATGATTGTTATCCTTTTTCATGGTATTTGGTATTCTTAAAATGTGCTTTGAATAGATGTAAATAAAAGATTAAATAACAAATATGGTCAAATTTTGAAGAGATTACTTGTGACGATAGCTGAGGGGATCTTACATAGACAGAATTTCGTATTTGAATTTATAACATAAAATATGTTTAAATCAAAGAAAGAATACACATGTAAGGAAATTTATACATCTACAGATATGTGTATGTATAAATTACCTGTGGTCTCATTAAGGTCGCAGTACTCGAGTCCTGGAATGAGACTGAAGAGTCGGGTCAGATACCCCTGGGTCAGACCTATGGGGGCCGTGATCTGTAGCCTGGTACTCAGTGTGGGGGTGTTGTAGGACTGTAGTAAATCCATGGGGCCCTGCCCACCACCCCCCATCACAGGACCTACAGAACAAAACTAAATAGTTAATCGTTTATAAAGTTCACATTTCTTTGCATATTATCTCCTCCTAGAGTTATTATTCTGGGACGAGGATCCTTAAAGAAATGAATTGCTTGAGTTTTTTGTTTTACCTGGAGGTCCTGGATTTCCCCCTTCGTGCATGTAGGCATCATAAATATCCCTTGGAGGGCCCCTCATCTGCTCATAATGTCTTTTGGATCCTAAATAAATTATTTTTATTAAGGCTTTTTATAAAACAACTTGAATCAGAAAACATTCGGCAAAAAGCACATCAAAACTAGTAAACTATACGCAAGATTTTTTTTTTAATTAAAAAAAAATTATTACTGATACATCTTGAATAATATTAGGATTTTCCAATCTCAATCAAAAATTGATAACCTTCTTGGGTATCTGTGATAGAAAGATATTGATAAACCTCTTAATAAATCTCCTTGTCTGATAAAACAGAAGACTTACCCCTGTCTCTGCTGTCATAATCGTTGTATCCGCCCCCAAACCTGTTCATCTCCCTGTCATAGCCCCCTCCTCCATAACCGCCCTCAAAATCCCGGTCTCTGTCCCGCCTCTCAGAGTTCTTAGGATCCGCAAACTTTGGCTTAAATGCTGCATCAAATAAACAAGGAATAATGTGAAAAAATTCTGTGAACTTTCTTTGAGGACAAAATGATTAATGATCATAACTCATATGTCATGAAAGTTTGTTTTAGTCTTAGTTTAGCACATAAATCTAGTTTACCCTTAGCATTCAAATAAATTACTAGGAAGGCTAAATCAATAGAGTCGTCAAAGAAGAGGAAACAAAACAAAACAAAAATGCTATCAATCTCCAGGATATTTAAGCAAATATCAACACAACCATCATCAGGTTTATTTGCAACAAAACGGATAAAGAAAAGTTCATGTCAAACACATGTTCAACTTCTTTCTTTGTAACTTACAGGGGTCACAGTTTTCAAACGCCAAAGCTGCGTGATAGGGTCGATGAAATCGGATGTACCCAAAGCCCTTTCTCTCTCCAGTGTGCTTGTCAGAAACAATCATCGCAGAGTCAATGTCACCATATTGCTATAAATTAATAATTAAATTGCTACATAAAATGTTGTCTTACTTTTGTTAATTTCATTATTCAAAACCATTTTAAATAATAATTATGTTAAGAAGAGAAAAATGTTTTTCCTTTTTATGTTAAAAGTACAGGGCTCTGCTCCAGAAAAATCTTCATTTACAGTTTGTTTCCAGTAGATTCCATATATTTTATGAGAGTACATAATATTGAAAGAGGATTCTAAGATTTTAAATCAAGAGAATATAAAGTTGCAAATGGACTGCTGTTGAAGATTTCATACTTGCATTAATATTGCACCAATATCAAATATAAGTAATTTTATTTTGAAAGTGGTTTTCATACAAAATTACAAGAAAAATTCCTTGTGCATCATGTGTTTATTTGGGAATGATGATCAATCATCACTACATGTTTTCAATTTACTGTAAACCAACTATAATTCATGTCATTTTTCATTTGCAATTCGTCAGTTTGAAATCGATCCATGACAATTAATTTTTATTACTGAGGAAACATTTTTTTCTACATATACTAAGCAAAATGATTGGTTTCTGGATTAATATTTACAAGTTAAAATAGGTTGCAAAACTCATGCACGTGAATAATAAAAGACCGTTTCATGGTAACTGCGGTACTGCTCTTTTGCTGGGCAAAATGATAAAGTTTGATGAAATATGACGTAAGAGTAATTGTTAAATATACGTCATTTAATTATCTATCTACAAAATTCTATTCACCAAACGTTATTATTTTGCCCTGCAAAAGAGTAGTACTGCAGTTACCGTGAAGGGGCTAATTGGTTTACAGTAACTTAAAAAAGTTTTACCTCGAACTCCTTCCTGAGGTCCTCCTTGGTGTAAGTTTTGGGGCAGATGACAAACAGGCGGAGGTTTTTCTCATCCTCTCGGGGGTCTCGCACCGCTCCCTCTCTCTTGCTGCTGGCAATTATTACCTGAAAATGCAAATCATTACGTTTAAAGCTTTATTTTATTTATCATTGACAAATCCTACTCTTTGTCACATCAATCATTCTTACTTTTTCGAAGAGACTGTATTATTATCCAAAATTTTATCTTAGCTGAAAAGTTTCTGGTTAACAGACTGAAAACAAATTAATCAAAGTTTTCTTGTTAATTAATTAATCTTTTACAAAAATATATATTTTTCTTTTTAAATGTGGAGAATGCCACAACTTGAAGAGACCTTTTCATGATAACAGTGATAATGGTCTATTGCAAAATAAAATTAAACATTATGTTGAATTATAATCATAATAATGTAAAAGCAATAAATTGTTTAATATGGGTCATTTAAACATTTATCAATAAAAACTTCGCCAAATGTTATTAATTCTTAACAAAAGAGAGGTACTGCAGTTATCGTGAAGGGGCTATTATACATATGTAGTTGACCTTTAGTGGTTTGGGATGTCCAGGCAGAGTTTTCATGTTCATTTCCTCCAATGCGAGAGCTGCCTCAGAAGCTTTGGAATACTTTATGTAAACTACACCTAAACAGGATCAAATTAATAAAGATCAATTAAAAATATACAAAAACAGCAAAATATTTTAAAAGAGTTATTATGCACATTACCGTCTTCATGAACCAGTTTGCTGATTCTTCCATCCTTCTTTGGCATCACATTGATCAATCATTTGTTTGAATTTTAAATCTTTAACTTTAATCTCTTTTATTATTTTTCTTATACTACTTCAAAAATCTTTGAATTCAGAAAGTTTGCCATTTAAAATAGAATTCAATTAAATATGCAAATAATTGTATTTTTCGTTTTTAAATTTAGGGAAATACTCATTTGGTTGAACTTAAAACCGAAAATAGACCAGCAACCTTTGTCCTCATTTGTCTTCCTGTCTTTCACGACCCATATGTCTTCTACGGTCCCAAACTTTTCAAAAGCTTCTTTGAATTCTTCTTCTTTGATTCCTTTGCCGCATAAAATAAATAATCTGCTGTTTGGGGGCTTGACATCCTCTTGTAACTCCCTATGTCTTTTATCATGCGGTCTGTGCGCCATCTTTATTTTCGGGTACCCCGAATTACCGAAATGCCCCTGATTTACCGAAATGCCCCTGGAAATTACCGAAATGCCCCCTAAAACTACCGAAATGCCCCTTGAATTATATTCTAATGGTCATTTTATGACAATTTATGATAAATTTTATTTATAAAACTGTGTTTTTTGAACAAAAATTAAAAAACAAACCTTTTAATTCACTCGAATATAGTGACTACTAAGAGCGATAACTCTTGCAGCATTATCGCAGCAGGAAGCGTGTTATTGGCCGTTGTTATATTATTACTGTATGATTTAATGATCCATATATATATTTCTTTCTCTTTTAATTTGTTGACAAAATTTTATACGGTATGTCTTGTTAAATATTTAAAAAGAAGAAGAAGAAAACATGACAGAAGTACAAGTAAGTACACTTTATTATTTACACCTCATATAAGTACAGTATAATAACGTCAGGTTTAAAAATACGAGATTCTTATTTATTTTTTATTTTAATTTGGAACAAAACATATCTTTTTAAATAGAAATCACTTAAGAAAGTTCGCCGGTATCATTAAATTACAATCTACCACCCACCGCAACCCCAAGATACCGTTGCCCAGCTCTTGCCACGTGGAGGCCTTCTCAATAAGAGCCATAATTTGGAAGAAAAAAAATTTAAAGCCAAAGATGAATTATTAAACAATCAAACTAGAAAAAATTTAACACAAAGATCAAGTTTAAAATCATAATAATTTAACCCAAAGACGAAAACTTAAATATGAATTTAAAGAATCTAAAGATGGATAGTGGGGGATCATTCTTGAAACAATAATTGATTAAGCCCAGATTACCTAATAAGAAAAAACGAATCGATAAAAAATAATTCTATAAGAAATTGAAAACGTCATGGTATTTTTGGCAAATTTTCAAAAAGCTTAGAAAGGGTAGAATTTTTCGATATGTGGCTTAATTAGCGACTTATTGATAAAAATTCAGGTGCCTGTGGATAGATCAACTACACATACCAGAGTTATCTCTCTTAGATAAACACATGTTTTTTGACCAAAAAAACACATTTGTAATTTTTTTTTTAATTTTAAAGTTTAAAATATGTATAGTAAACTCACCACCTTTCATATTAATCAAAATATTTAAGTTTTTAAAGGGCATTTCGGTAGTTTTAGGGGGCATTTCGGTAATTTCCAGGGGCATTTCGGTAAATCGGGGGCATTTCGGTAATTCGAGGTACCGTTTATTTTCGAACGAAACGGACAGTGTTGTAAATCGATCATGGAATGTTTCGTGATAATCTTGAATGTTTTTAAAAATTTCCTATTGACGCATTGAAATACATTGAAACATCTTTATTTCTTGTATCAGTAATAATATCTTTATTTCTTGTATCAGTAATAATATCAGAAAAATAGAACGAAAGGGGAGGAGACCTGACTCCTTTTCCGATAATAATATTTTCAGTTGATTTCTCCCTTTAATTTTTTATTGATTTTTTGTTTTGTTAAAATTTAGTATCTGCTTTTCAAGTATTCTCTTGTCCAATACCCACCCCACCCCCCGTAGTTTGTTATGTACCATATTTTAAAAAAATGATTCTTAAATTCTAGTTCTCCTTGACTGCTTTAAGTTTTTTCATAGCATTTTCACTGAAATAAATTTTTAAAAATTCCATTAATTGTTGAAAAGGTTCATTAGAATTTAAGGTAAAATAAGAAAATAAGAATAGTTTTTCCATTTATGGTCTTCACATGCGCGGATCTAGAGGGGATCAGGACGACCCCCCCCCCCCCCCCCCATTGAATTTGCAACGTTATTAATATACAGTTATTGACTGGGTATGAGGGCAACATATGATTTGTAGGACCTGAAGGTGAAAATGGCCAAGGGCAACATTTTCACCTTCACAAAATCATATGTTGCCCGAATCCCAGTCTATAACTGTTTTGTTATACCCTTCACTGCTCACTTAAGTGTGATCAATTTCATCAATACACGCTATATTATCAATTATTTTGTATGGAAAAATATGGCTTCTTCAGTAAATATAAAACATCAAGCTGAGAAATAAATAAAACAATTATATATCTATTGTATCACAAAAATTATTTATCACAAAATAAACTCTTCCCTTCTTCCTTACCTAGCTGTTAGCAACAACTCTTGTAGCTCTTAACTTCGGCTATTTTCGCGTCGCCGATATTTCACGATGATTAATTAATTGTGACGTAACAGACGAGTGACGTTGCGGTCTAACAATTCTTATGTAAGACCGGTCAATAGTGAAATTGTTAGACCGACGTAATGAACAGTTCTTTTGTTGGACTTTTTATAAGTAATAAATATATAGAATGATATTTATAAGGGTATAACAAATTTATATACTAAGCAGACTAAGCTATACTATGCAGACCCTCCTGGTAAACGCGAACTTGTGTGAAATTGGTTTGAAAAGTCAAACGTTTGAAGCTGTCGATTTTTTTTTTTTTTTTTTTTTTTTTTTTTGCTTGTCAAGAAATTTCTGGGTTTTTTTTTTTGTTGTTGTTGTTGGACTGGGGTAGACCCCCCCCCCCCCTGGAAAAAAAATTTTGGGATCCGCGCCTGCTTCATTTTATTTTAAATCTGTAGAAATTATATTTGTCATGAAATCCTTAGCGATAACACGTTTTGCATTCCTATATATATATAGTTTTAATTTTAATTGTAAACTATATATACGATATTGTGGGTCCCTTAATTCTGATGAAAGATATATCTCCTGGTTGCTAGGCTAAGTCCAGTGATGACAAAAATAGCTTAATGGTACAAGATACAAGATACAAGATATTTTATTTACCAATCAAGGGCCCCGAGGGGCATTTCAACATACATAAATGTACAGATTAAACATTCTTTTTCTTTTTTTTAACAATATAATTTTTTTAAACATTTATATAAATGACCAAGTTACATAATAATATTGTTCTCAGTGTCAATGATCATGCATAATACAAGTGTCCAGAAGAATGTCAATGATCACAAAAACAAGTATCTTTTAAAAATTGGTGTATGTACACTGATATTTTTTATTTATACATGTACTCTCAGACCTTACAATGGTATATTCGGCCTTAATTACTCTAACAATTTTAAAATCGGCTACGTCGAATCGAATACGAAGATGCACATTGCTAAATATATCTCATCATTATGAAAATCAGATTCATTATTTAAGATCATCATTAGAAAGCCGAATAAACCAACAATAAATAATGTCAATCAATGTGTCGCGGTACACTTTATATCACACAACATAATGATCATTAATTATTGCTGACAGTTCGTAGATGAAATGAATAACTGAATTAAATTTGAATGAATTCACGCCAGCCGTTAAATTTTTGTGGCTCTTATATACATATGTACGTTATAACTACATGTATGTAGGTACATGTACAAAGCTTTTTTTCAGAAAATGTTCATTGAAAGCCCCCACTCCCCCAAATACACACACTTTTTCTTGCGGCATATAGTCAAATAAGGGTGATGTAGTAGTGTATTCAGTTTAGTAAATGTATTGTTGGTACTGAGAAGTTGGAACCTAGATATAAAACCTTATTTTTAAGATTTTAGAGAAAGAAAACAAAATCTACCCACTGGACAAATTCTGACAGTTGTCATGAGTCGAGAGAGGACAAGAAAAATATCATTCTAAAGGTGCCTATTTTTTAATGGGGTGGGTTGGTGGGTGGGGATAAATTTATAGACTCAAAGGGACATTAGCAAGAAAAATAAAAAAAAAATAAATCTTTCCAATGTGTAGGGGAAGGAGCATAATTTTTGATGGTAGGATGCATCCAGCTTTTTAAAAATAATAATAATAAAGGGTCCAAAAACCAAATACTGTAGTAATGAAAATAGGGTTCAAAAACTAAATACTGTAGTAATAAAAAAGGGGGTTCAAAAACTAAATACTGTAGTAACGAAAAAAAAGGTTCAAAAATTAAATTTATACTGTAGTAAAGGTTTACAGACGGTTTCTTAATGAAAAAGACGGGTACGATCCTAAGCGCTTCTCCCTAGCTCAGGCGCGGATCAAGGAATTTTTCCAGGGTGGTGGGGGTCCGTATCAGTAAAAAAAAAAAAAAAAACACCCAGAAAAAAAACACACATTTAAACTCATTTCCAAACGTGAAATACCTATTTCGTGTGAAGGGGGGGTCGTTGACTTTTAAAATTTTATACCTTTGACTTGTCATACAATTTTCACATTAGATCTGCGTTTTCGAGGAGGGGTTTGCGTTTTCTAGGGGAGACTTAGGTCAATTTTGCTTGGCTTAGTATCAATAACTGTGCAAATTCCAGGGTGTCCGGACCACTGATCGGCCCTCTAAATCCGCGCTTGCATGCTAACTTTATGCACCTAAATTTAGTTCATAGTCGGGATTTAATTTACTACATGCAGGTAAAGTCAGCTTCTGTGTTATGCCCCATGATTAAGTAATGATGTATTTATACATTTTTTTACTGCGTCATTTGAAATTTAAATCAGGTCCTAACATTCATCACATCTTGATACCTTTAGAAACCACACAGTGACACACATTAATTTAATTCAATTAAGAAAGCAAACGTATGTTGTTAATATTACTAAAAGACCTTGAATTTTAGCAATGCAGGGTTATAAAATCATGTAAAATGAAGAAATGCAGAACTTTTTTTAAAACAATGAGATAAAGTTACTATAGTATTTAAAAGTTTCCGATCGGAGTAATAGATATTCGATCGACAGAATTATATATAATTAATTTGTTTGTACCTCTTAACCATTTATTTTCTCCTTTTATTTGTTTCCTGATACTAGTATTAACTGAAGAAAGATGAAACACTTCTTTCTACTAATTCTAAAAGACGAATATTTTTAATTAAAATAGCTGTGTCATTTTTAAATTAAAAAAAAATATATCCCCCTTCTTCCATAAATGCTTTCAAGACTTTCATAAACTCCTTCCTACACTCTCTTATTCTCTTTTTCGTTGTAACATTCGTTTGCTTATTTAAGTCCGTAAACTTATTTTTCTTTTTTACAAGTAGTCTTAAAATACGACAAAAAATGGATCGCATTGTCTAAATTCCAAATCGTCACTTCCGGTTTCGGTGTCACCAATTTGTAAGACGTGGAATGCATTTATAGATAAAAATCAAATTCTGTGTATATTCCAGCTGTTGTTTATTGATCTGAGGTGCACATTTCCCGCGGAAAGTATCAGCCTGGAAAGTCAACAGGACACAAAGCTTTTAGACATCCTGGAAACTTGCTACGGATTTCATTTTTTATCGATCTCACCAAAACCAAGCTGACATAAATTTCGGCTGATTGACTCGAGTGACAAGTGTGTCGCATTGAAAATGTACGCGTGTTGTCATTAATGGTCGTGAGCAATAAAAAAGTCATGGAAGAGTGAATGGTGACGATTGAAGAAATGTGAGTCAATTTTAATTAATTTTTTGTACACTTAAATTTTTATGAAGCAGGAAGAAAATAGTTTGGAGAATATATCGCGACAGATATTTATTATTTAGACATGTTAGAGTAAGACTGGTATGTTTAGTTAAATGGGGTTCTCTTATTGAGTATTTTAATAAAGAAGAAGATAATTATCAACGTAAACTCTTTATTGTTACTTTAGGTGATGCTCTAACTAAAACAGTTGTCAGAATTGTGATAACTTTTACTTTATGCAACATGCACATATATATATCTTAAAATTAAATTCAAACCTGTCAAAGGGTTTGTCTGTTAAATGAGAGATTTATTGAAAGGGGGTTAAAAAGTAAACTGGGTCTAAAACTGCCATAATATAAAACTTGTCATAGTACAAATTTTACTTTTCTTCCATAAATTAACATTGATGAAATTTTTTTCAATGTACCCTTTTTGGTCATTTTGGAATATTAGAATTTGTTTCTAAGTTGTAATAAGATTTTTTCAAGCAAGATATTAATGAATAAGAACTTACACTATGTCTCAATATATATACCTGATGGTTTGTAACTTGGGTCTAGCAATGCATATTTATAACCAATGTATCTTTGTATCCTCATTCCTATAACATGTCTAGCATGCATGAAAATTAAAAAAAAATATTGCCTATTTTAAAACTTGCATGTCAATGATGAATTAATGATTATCATTATTAAATAAATATTAAACTGTACAGCACAGGATACAAAAGAAATGTATACCAAGACAAAAAAGTAGAACATGGTTATGAAAATTAACCATCTTATATTTAGAATTAAAATAAGGCAAAAAGACATAGGGTGAGTAATATGTTATGCAGGGCAAACAAGGACTAGGGGAAAAACATCAGACAATGGCTAACATGTTGAAGATTTTTATTAACCCTTGCCCAATATATCTACTTGTCATGCCCAGCTGTGTCTTTTCTTTTATTGACTCAATGCTTTGATCATGTTGACATGAAACCCAAAAAAGGACATTTGTAATTTAGATACTTTGTAAGTGTAAAATTACTAAAATATAGGGGATGTGCGATTTTATCGGTATACCGGTTTATTGCAATACTTATTGCGTGATACGGAGACCTAAAATACCGGTATTTAAGTACATATTATAAAGTCCAGAAATTATTCATTTATTTGTTCAATCTTTCAAATTACAATTACAGAAAGTCTAAAAAAAAATGTTGTATGTGAAAATAACAGCATAATTAATAGCATCCAAACATGATTAATTTTGTGTACATAAAAATTTCAAAAAGTGAAATTTTGTTTTTCTAGCATATTTTTAAGAAAATTATGACTATTCATTTAAAACAATTGTAAAAATTGCTTGACGTACAAATATCATGATATTATTGTGATACTGTGGGAAAAAATTGTGATATATCGCGATACGAAATTTTTGGCGATACCCATCCCTTTTAAAATACAGTGATGGCAGTTCCTGTTTTAACATATCTTGAATTTAACATTATTTAACTGTCCTTTCAGGATGTGATTTTTTCTGCAAACTTTGTTGGGACATTTGAACTAGAACAGGATGGTCAGCCGAGCCCGCCTCCATTACTGTAAGATAATTCTGGCCACCTCGCTGGTATGGTTCCTGCTGGACGTCTTCATCTTGATGTACTTCACAGACTGCGCAGCTAACAGCGCCAACACGAACTGCAAGGAACACGGGGGAGTGGGGGAAGTAAAGAGAAAGTCTGACGGTGGGGGAGGGGGAATTCTGGATAGAATCCTCCCAAAAGGTATACTAGCATTTATTAGAGTAATTTTTTTATTGAAAGGGGATATACAGTTGAAAAGTTGATTTTCCAAGGCAGCAATTTAGTGCTGGTTATGCAATTCATATTATATTTTTTTTATGTGACTGTATATATATCGGTTGTTTTGCAGGTAAGAGTGTATAATTAGTAGCTTCTAGTGTGTAAAAAGTTGCCCGGGCAAGTGTGTATTAATTAGTAACTTCTAGTGTGTAAAAAGTGACACAAGTACACAAACAGATAACAAATAAGATAGATGATTTGCTTAATTACCAATGTTAATTAGAGTCTGAGTAGGGTAATGAATATGTATTAAAACATTATATTCTAAGAGAAATTCTTAACCAAGACTTGGATATGTTGTATGTTATTCTTATATTCACTTAATTGCACATTTCTTTTTGATATACAGAAATAATTTTATTAACTTGTGAGGTTGCAGCTAATAGCTATTATTTGGGGTAGAGTTGGAGGGTATTTTATAACGATAAAGCATATAGAAACATATAAACCTCTTAATATTTATAATATCTGACCCTTACATGTTAAATAATCTCATACTTTTCACGTGTAACATATTCCAAATATTGCAACAATCAAGGGTTGATTCATTTCTGACAATGAATTTCTCATTTTCTTCTTCCCAGTAATAATGTTTTTATAACCGTGATTTTATTGATAAAATGATAAAACTGTGGCTGTAATTGTCATGTGTTTGGAACTGTGTCATGTTTAATGTCACTTGGTACATATGGGCTTTACATTCTATGCTTTTTATCAGGAATATACATTCGATAACTTCTTTCTAGCTGTCTTTGAATTTAACATATACTATTACATGTATTCATGTTATTGAAATGTGAAACAGTTCAAACTGCAATTTATGATTGTTATTTTGCACTCATGTAAGAATCTACATGTGGTTGGTTGTATAATGGTTGATTATTTGGCATTTTGTGAAAAAGATTGGTTCTTTTCAAAACTTAATTACCCTGTGATCAAATGTGTGGATCATCAGATTTCTTTTCAGTCATTTAATTTAAAGTAAATATTTTGGTACACTGATGCTTATTGCTTAGTCATATCTTCTCTGGGCCTCCGGAGAATGCACGAGGCTGTAAATTGGTACATTGATAACATCAGTCCTTAGTAAACGTGGGAATTTGGGGGGGACTATATATAAACTGTGTGTACTGATAATTTTAAAAAAAAATTGTTCATTTCAAGAACATTCTTCATTAATTTGAATTAGGAACAATTTCAATTCTTAACTATATGAACATGTGATTAACATAAATAATTTTTAAGTTGAATAATATGCATTTTAAGGTAATGGTATTAATATAATGTACACCATATGTACTAAAATGAATATAGAATTTAGGAAAATGCTTGTGAGTTAAATTGACATGCATTCTTGGGTCAACATGTTCAAAGTATGTACATGTACCTGGAAGCCTGGTTACTTCAAAGATCAAGGTTATCAAGGTCATATGACTATCTTGCTGACCATGTGTTCTTGAATCCTTTACAATGTAGCACTAATGGAAGTTTTGATTTGATAAAAAAAAAAATATGTGTACAGATCATATTGTTAGATAAAATGTAGATATTAAAAAGAACTACAAAGAACTTATCATGTTTAAAGAACTTTAACAGTTTAAATAATTGATATGTTAATGAAATATTGCTTTTAATACTGTAACACACTGTTAATTACAGACGAATTGGAAGGAAATAGAGAGAAAATATTTATACCCGAACCCGACTTTAAATATATTCCAACACCCAAAACCATACACAAACTACCAAACAGGAACTCACAAAATAAAGGTTGTACAATTCTGGCTCAGGCTGGTGGATGAATCATTTTATCTGTTGTCCCCTGGTGAATGGGTTATCCCCCCTTTATCCTGACATTTTTTGTGGATACAGATATATCTATCTTATCTATGTTGTGGAGGGTACAAATATAAAATGTAGATATGACACAAAGAGAATTGGTAATTATATATTATAAATATGCCAGCTGGTGCCATCAAAAACGATCAAGCAGAGCTGATTACTAATAATTAAAGCTGTTTAATAATCAGTTTTTTTCTATACATTGTGAAGCATTGATTTTTGCTGAATGTATTGAAGATTTATACAATTTAATTTGAAAAAAAATCTCTAGCTTTTATTTTTAGCTAGTTCAACATATTTTTCCTAGAGAGAAAAAAACCAAGTGGGATATTTCTTATTTGATGATCAAAAATAGAAAGCTACTGTACAGTGTACATGTATATGAAGATTAAAAATTACCTATCAAGCTTTCATGTTTCTAAAACATGACAGAGCAAGTTAATAATTGGCAAGGATAAATATCAGCAAATTGCTCATTTGAAAAAGATAAATTGCTCAAGAATCTAACAGGTATTTGTTGTAGGTGTATACCCTGGTAAAAGTTGAGTCGCAATATGTTACTAATACTGATAATAGAAGGCTATCAATACAGTTTTGTATTGCCTATGGCATAAGCTTATGAAATGATGGAATAAGTGCTACTTAATTAATCATAGTTATATTTTCTGCGATGCTTCTTTCCATTGATTCAAAGGTTAATAAAACTGTTTAATCAATGATAAAATTTAAAAATAAACATTGTTAACCCCCCTTTCAAATGTATTCAGCCTCAATTTCTGATTTCAAGGGATAATATCTTCAACACTCCAATTTCGTTTGGACGAATTTGATTTTCCTTACCTAGGCCAGAGTGTAGATTATTTATACATATATATGATATGTATAGCGTTACATTTTTGCATTCTATTTATAGGTATCATTCAGCGAGTTCCGACGGGCCCTGGAGAGATGGGAAAACCCGTGGTGGTCCCCTCTGACAAGCAGAAAGAGGCAAAGGAGAAATTTAAAATTAACCAGTTTAATCTGGTGGCCAGTGAGATGATCTCTCTAAACCGGTCACTCCCAGACTACCGAATGGATGCGTAAGGCTTAGCTCTTCTGTTTAATTAAGGATAATCAAATTAAAGCAAAAGTGAACAGATGACCTATAGTATTTTTGATCTTTGAGACCTATAATACCATGAATATGGAAGTGATTTCAACGTACAGTTGAAACTTCATTATCTCAAACACAATGGATATATTGAAGTGAAAAGATAATTTTATGATACACTTTTGCAACAACCAAAATTGAAAGGAATAATTTTCTGTCCATTTAGAATATGATTTTAAATTTTTTCAATATATGTTTATGGAAAAAAAAACTGTTCAAAGTAATGTTTTTCAGACAAAGAACATCATTGATGATTTTTGGTGTATTTCTGCTTCTTTCAGCTGTAAAAGAAAACAGTATCCCCCCAATTCCCAGCTTCCCGATACCAGTGTAGTAATTGTATTCCATAACGAAGCCTGGACGACGTTACTACGGACTGTACATAGTATTATAAACCGGTCACCACGGGAACTACTTAGAGAAATCCTACTGGTAGACGACGCCAGTGAAAGAGGTATTTATAGAAAACAAGGCTGTAATTAGACACAACTAACGTACCATGCAATTTTAAGATTTATGGTAAAGAAATTATTTGTGAAATCAGTAAAGTTGTCAGAATTATTTATGACTTTTAAAAATGTGAACATTGATATGGTGCTTTTTAAAGTTTGTAATGTCTGTTAAGTATAAACATTTATGATTTATATTTTTGTTTTCTGTATTTTATTCTCAAAGTTAACTTTCAGCTGACATTGTGTTCTGAAGAGAAGCTTCCTTCGGAGTGCATGTTACTAAAGTGATATGTTATATTGACTTAAGAAAATGCAGTATACTTCACTGTATTATAATTTGATGAATTTTTGCTCATTACAGAAGAGTTAGGTAAACAATTAAAGGAGTATATTGCCACTTTACCAGTTCCTACCCATGTAATCAGGTCAGAGGAGAGAACAGGTCTTATTAGGGCAAGGTTAAAAGGTCAGTGGATTTTAGAAATAATACATGTACATATCTTTAAAAAGTACATATTTAGAGATTTTCAAATGTTTAAAAAAATCATTTAATTTTTACATTCCCTTAATCTTCAAGCATTATAATTTAAATTTGGTCCTCTTTGTATGGTGATCAGACAGGTTTGATTGCCTGGGTCAAAAAGCTCAGGTGATGAAGCACCTGTTAACTGATTCAGGGGACCCAGGTCTGAATCTTGTTCTGATCCGTTCCAGTTACTAAACAAATGATACAATTTTTTCTCCTGAATTAGATATAGACTTAGATGAGTTGAATTAGTTTGAGACACATTTCTTGACATTTTAACTATAACAACTTAACCATTATATCTACTTCATTAACAGGTGCAAAGCAAGCCAAAGGAAAGGTCATAACCTTTTTAGATGCACATTGTGAGTGTACACAGGGCTGGTTAGAGCCCCTATTGTATGAAATCCATAAGGATAGGTAAGGAAGACATTACATTACTTTCATTGAATGTTGGGTATAAAATTTCGAAATTTTATGAAAACAAAGATCTGTGCAAGAATATTATTCTAGCTAGTATTAGTAGTTAGCTTCTAAAATCTAGGAATTTTTAATTTCAAGATTTACTTGGTAACAATACCCACTTGTTTCTCTGCAATTCACATAACTTTTTATTAAAAAAATACAGAATGTGTATCTGTTATATTCTGTGAACTTTTATTAACAGTTTTTTGGTAATAATTTTATATTGACTTCAATTTTTAATGCCAGTAAGTTGCAAGCCCAGGGTTACTGTAATGTCGAGTAGAATAAACTCTAAACTGTGGCTTTGTGATGGTTTATGCAACAGATATACAACTTCTTTGAATACACTATTCTTATTTGCGAAGAAATATTTTGTTTTAATTTCAGTACCAAAAAGACTTTATAATCAATTTAATATATCATGATACACATATCATATTGTGGCTCAAATATTGTGATATTTATCGATACAGAAAAATTTGTATCGTCCCAGCACGAACGTCATGTGATGATTTCCTTATTATTCTGTACAGGACGGCTGTGGTGTGTCCTATCATCGACGTCATCAGTGACGACACGTTTGAGTACATCACCGGCTCAGACATGACCTGGGGAGGCTTTAACTGGAAACTGAACTTCCGCTGGTACCCCGTCCCCCAGAGGGAACTAGACAGGAGGGGCGGGGACAGGAGTAACCCCACAAAGTACGGAATTTGTCATCTGTTTACAAGGGGATGGAAAATAAAGCTCTAATTCTCATTCCTCCCTTAAAAAAACAAATAATAAAATGAAACAGAAAATAATGTAGAAAAGAAATTACAAAAATAGGAATGATTGCTCTTTGAATTTGATATGTTCCATAAAATGTTTAAAAAAATATATAAATCTTATGTCATGAATTGCATTATGAAATATGCTAGAAAACAAATTTTATTTAAATCTTGCACAAATAGGAATGTCATTACGATTTTAGAACTTATGCAAAGAACAAAGTACGTTATTGGCTATATGCGGCCGAGAAATTTTACTATTTTTAAACTACCATTATTTATGCAAGTCCCTTATGTTTCGTTTACAATGAGATCAAAGCTAAACTCAACTTATATAAAAATGACGTAATATGTTACAGTGACGTCATAATACCACACCAAACAGCGGTTGCTCAGTGAAATCCGTTCATTTTTCATGAAAAATCAGTAAATGTTGATGAAATTGAATATGTTCCCAAGCATTAACCACTTTTATTTTTTGTGTATAAAATAATTGGTTAAAAATCTCCGTCTAGTATTAAATTCGTGTCGGTTAATGAGTGGGAACAGTATTCATTTTTTATAAATAGTAAGTCCGGAAATGAAAATTATGCAACATTAGCATTCATTATTTTACGCTGATTTTACACAGTATTTATGTGGGAAACGAATAATATCAACAGCTATTTTAACTTGTGAACACAAAAAAAAATCATACAAGATAAAATCCACATATGTTTATAATTATTTTTCAAGTTTATAAAATCCATTTAAATTAAGAATGAACCATTCTAGAGTCGGAAATTTTATTGATTGCATGGTTCAGAATGTACGTCCTTCCTCAATATACGTGCTGCATTTGATGGTGACCTGATAAAGGATAAATCATACATATGTATTTTAAATATTTTTTTAAGTTATGCTTTTATTCAAAAGTAGTAAGACTTTACAAGTATATAGCTATCACCAGCTACATGTTACTAGTACGTGATGGTAGTCCTGATGTTTTGTTTTTGTTTTTTGGTTTTTTTGTTGTTGTTTTTTTTTGGGGGGGGGGGGGGGGGGTGGGTCATACCGTAATGTGTCTTGAATCGTTCCGCGTTTCCGAATTTGCGAACCTTATTTACCACTGTACTTTGCACAATTCATACTTAACAGTCATTCAAACAAAAAATAAACAAGATAAATATGTCTACTTAATCAATAAATTCACGATATTATCCATGAACTTGCTATCCTAACCGAGTAATTGTGCCCTTTAAGAAGCTCATATGACAATTTTTTTTTCGATGATCATGTCGAAGGTTTGTTTGATCTACGAAACGGGACATATTATAGAACGGCAATTAAAAGCTACAAAAAACTTTATTATCATTATAACGAAATATTATGAATAGAACTTATTTAATTACAGTGGCATTACTGGCCGGGACATATGCAGCGGTAATGATTTGTAGTCGGCAATGGTCTTATTGAAAAAAAAAAATATAGCGGAAAGTTGAAATTTTCGTTATGTAGCGGTAGTTTTGTTGACAATATGAGCACTGTGCACACAAGTTTTTTCTTTATTTATGTCAGATATTCTGTAATATCGGTTTTATTCAAATGCCTGGAGTGTAAAATATACCAGTGATCAACTTTATACATGTAATTATACGTCTACCTCAGACCCGCCTCATCATAATGCTTGAATCTTGAGGGGGCTCGGAGTCCCTCCCCCCCGGTTGCATTTTCAGCATTATGAAGTAACTTTCCAAAATAAAAAAAAATCACTTTGGAAAACACCCCATCCCCTTGTGAAACACAGATTCCTTGTAACAAGGTAAAAAAGCCATGAATCTGAAGAAAATTAAATAAGGAAAGTCCCTTGTCAAAACCACCACTTTCCCACAAAATGAGATTTCCTCAAGGCTATTCCTTGAGGTAATATTTGAGGAATACATCAGGCACGTAGCAACGGGGGGAGGGGGCAGGGGTTTGTGATATAAGGAAAATGTAGTATTGTAGGTAAAAGAAATTGGTACTGAAGGAAATCTGCATTGAAAAAAAAATGGCTTCTATACACACACCCACCAACCCCGGAAGTAGGATTTTCGGCTTTGGGCAACTTTTAATTTTTTTTTCTTTTTTCTTTTGGTCAATTTTTTCAGGTAAGTATTTTTTTCTCTGCCTGCCACCCCCCCCCCCCCCCACTTTAAAAAACGATGCTACGTGGCTGTACGTGGATAGTTTACAAGAAAGAGACTCGACAACGGAAGTCTGAAACGATTTATTAGAACAGAAGAAAAATTTCTGTCAATGCGAACTATTTAAAGAAGAACAATGATTGATAAAAAATTCGACCTTATTGAAGCGGAGTGTGTCTGAAACTGATCTAGGTAACTCGTGGAAAGAGAAAGGAGGGGATGCTCTATATATACGAAGCAAGTGTCTGTGGGGAATGCCCTAATTACCATTACCTAATTACGCTTTTTACACATACACGTAAGCAGTATTCGAGTAACTAAAGTTCTAATGATTTAATATCCCCATTTCTAAGATTATTTTTCGTCTTTGCTCACAAATAGAAAAGCACAGTGACAGTGTCAGTTTGACAACAATTTATTCCCCATAGTTTACACTGGACCTTATTTTTCCAATATCTAGGAAAAAATCGCTTCTGCCCTTTAAATATACCGAAGACAGTAAAAACCATGTACAGTCGCAAAAGATGGGTTTTGTGTCCGGTTTTATTTCCAAGGTTAAAAAAGGAATAGACACGAAGCCAGTGTTTTTATATTACATGTATATAGATATTTATTTATCATGTATTTCTGAAGGAGTGTCCTCAGGTTCGAAACATTTGAGCATTGTGCAGTGCGCCGCCTGTGTAATACAGCTGCCATTTTTCAATAAGGCAGATTTCAATTGCGTGTTAAACGTTGGAAGGGGGGGATGTGATCGTAATGCAACACAAAAAGGAAGGTCGAGAAACGGGTTTTGGATTTTAAAAAATCCATACTACATTGTAAATCAACAGCAGAAAGCTAGTCTCGGAAAAAAAAGAATGGGGGGGGGGGCAGTATCACGGGCCCGCTAACAATATAGAATGGGCGTTTATTCCCACTGTGTTCCATTAATTGCCTGAAAGTTTTATTTCATGCAAATAATTTATGTGTGTGCAAGATTGACTTTCCAGAATTGTGTGCATAGTATAAATTTGTTTTTGAAAAAAAAAATAAAAAAGTAATTATACGGAAAACTTTACAAATATACGTAGTATTATAATTTTTTAAAAAAAAATGAATATAACTTATGTGCCACGGGTAAATTCTGTTTAGTGTCGCTAAATCAAATACTGGTAAGAGTACCAAGATTCATCAACAACACGTGCAACATCGTCAAGACGGTCCATCCGTCGTTTTCAATTTATAATTATTTTAATTCGATAAATATTTAAAGGATACAATCGGGCTTAGTCCGACGGAAAAATGAATGTCAACAGTTCCTGAAATTCTGTTTTGTTTTTTTTTTTTGGTTGTTTGTTTGTTTGTTTGTTTTTTGTTTGTTTGTTTGTTGTTGTTGTTTTTTTTTTTTTTGCATTATCTCTGAAAAAATTATCTCTATGATCTCTATGACAGGTTTAGATTCATTTCAAGTATTATAGCTACCATCATTTATTATTCTCCGCTTTCCATAACCTCAAATTTTGAAAAATATACAGGATGTTCACATACAGGTATGAAACGGTGTATTTAATAAGATATTTGAGATGGCTCGAACTCCCGGAAAAAATTAAAATCATGGGTAGTTGTTTTGTGTCCTATGCAGGCAGTCGGATGATCCGCTATGCATTATATATTCATGTAAAATACTGTCATTCCTACCCCAATCTCTGCCATGGCCCAAATGATAAAATGTAAAGTTAATTGCAAATGAAATTCTTAAAATATCTTTGAATGGATTGATTTCTATTTTAAAGACAGTCGCACGTCGTTTTAATACATATAGGAGCTTTGTATGACGCAAGAGAGACATGTACGTTATTGACGTCGTCTAGCAAAATGAACGTCGGAACTGACGTTACTACCGCTTAAACACCACTTTTTATCAGAATTTGCGATGTGTTACACGTAATTAGATATAAACAAGTTATATATTGTTAGAAAGATAAAGTTCTCAACTTTTGAGTGCGATAAACCTCAATTTAGTTAAAGGTTCGGCGAAAATCAACCAATAACGTACTTTGTTCTTTGTGAATGTGAGACTCTTTGATGTTTAGCCATTTATCCGAGATATTGATTATAATGTATGCATTTTTTCTCTAATAGAACTCCCACAATGGCCGGTGGACTGTTTTCTATAGACAGGGACTACTTTTATGAAGTGGGATCTTACGATGAAGGAATGGATATATGGGGAGGGGAGAATTTAGAAATGTCTTTCAGGGTTAGTGTGACAGCCAGGATGTGATTTTTCTATTACACTGTACATACAAACTCATTCTAACACTTTTGCCAACAATTAATTGCAATTTAGTCGATGCTTCCTTGTTTTTACAATTCAGAAAAAAAGATTTATACATTTATAAAATTTTGAATAATATTAAGATGATGAATGAAAAAAATTATGTATTTATACATGTATCTGATTTTTATCTCCCCTCTGTATATACACAGATATATTTAGATAATAGAAATGTTCTCTTATGTACAAAACAAGCATATAATAGTTTTTTCCATATTTAATTTTGTGACTAGGTGTGGATGTGTGGTGGCAAGGTGTACATTGTCACCTGTTCAAGGGTGGGCCACGTGTTCAGAAAAACCTCGCCTTATTCCTGGCCAGGGGGCGTGGCCCGCATTATCAATCACAACACACAGCGTATAGTCGAGGTGTGGATGGATGAATATAAGGATTTCTTCTATAAAATTAATCCAGGTAGGATACACTTTTAATATACCGTATAAGTGGAAATTTTAGCGAGATGCAAATTTAGCGATTTGTCCTAAAAAATAGGTGTTTTATTTCTGGCGAAATGCAATTTTAGCGATTTTAAAATGTTCACTATAGAAGCTATCACAAATAAAACTTAATCAATTTTTAGCAATAGGAAATTTAAGCGATCTCAACTCCCTCGCTAATAATGCTAAAATTAAATCCTCGCTAAAAATTCTGCTTATACGGTATATAGCCAAGTGTAAATAAAAAAAAAAGTGTCACTGTAGAATACCAGGTTTTCCACTCAATGCCTGATTTTTGTAAGAAATTTAAGATTAATAAGCAAGACAGAATTTTTTGGAATGTTGGTATTTTCTGTATATAACCTTATGTTATAAAAAAGGATCAAGGAGGAAAATTTCCAAAACCAGATGGTCTCATGTAACTATGCAAAAGTCTAGTTCCTGGAATTACTTGATCTAAGAAATTCAATGGACTATTGATAATATTCCAGTAAAAAAATATACATGTACTGCATATACACAGATAGGTACTGAAAATCACTTTTTATTTTGGAGAACCCAATTTTTGCATGATTACATAAGATATCCTCATGAAAATGCCATTCTTGCATATTCGTATTTCTATTAATGTAGGTAATGTGCAAAGTCCATTTACAGTACTTTGAATTATAAAAGGAGAAAATTATTTTTAAAATTGGTAAATACATTTATACTTTGTTTTCACAGGGGTAAGGAGTACAAGTTATGGAGATGTATCAGAAAGAAAATCTCTGCGAGAAAAACTACATTGTAAAAGCTTTAAATGGTATCTAGAGAACGTTTACCCTGAATCTCAGATGCCTGTGGAGTACTATGCTTTAGGAGAGGTGGGTCACTTAGCTCTGATTTTAACAGAGTTCCTTATTGCTTACTTGGAAAAAAAATCATAAATCAGACTGTATTAGAAGAACATTCAATCAAACCTTATGTCTAACTGGATAGGGCTTAGAACATATTTCAAGATATGAGAGAATTTGAGAAATTAAGGTTAAAATATTATATAGAAAATGTGGATGAGATTTTCAATAAATTTTCTTTGACACATTCAATTATCCATCATGTTTGAGATTCAGAAATTTAACTGCAAGAAATCCGTAAATAGAATTTAATTCTTTAAAACTTAATGAATAGTATCTAAGTTATACAATTTCTACACAAGGTCTACAATTTTTGTCAGTAAATGTTCTATTATTGGTAATAAGATGTATCTGTTATAGATAAGAAACAAGGCCACGGGTCAGTGTATAGATAGCATGGGTCGTAAGAGCGGAGAGAAAGTTGGACTGGTCCAGTGTCACGGAATGGGCGGGAACCAGGTTAGTGTTTGATCGTGAAGGATGTGGTAGAGCTCTCAAATACTGTAAAACGTAATTTTTTTCCATGGGGCCATAATTCTGAGAAATCACCATTTCTGTTTACTCCGTAAATACTTTAAATGTACTTTTTTCCATGTGGCCTTATTTTGGCGAAATGACAATTTCTGTTTTATTCTGTAGGTAGAATATTGTGCCTATTTCTTTGATTGTTTTAGTTTATTCTTAAATGCACTTTAAGTATTCTGTGTCAAATTTCTGCTGAAATTACAGTTATTATTTCCACATAGAAAAAATATGTTTACAGTATTAAAAAAAAACATTGAAGGAAAGAATTGCTATATTTTGAACTTTAAATTGACAAATTATTCCCCTTAATATTTAGAATTATTTTATTCAAAAAAAGATGAAATTGTTGCATATCATATCATGATTTATCATGTACAATGTATATAATTCAGTGTGTTATCATTTATTTGTCTGGTTTGTTAATCTTAATGCAGTATGTTACATTTTCAGGCATCATATGTATGTATTTTAAAACTATAATTTTCTGTGTTAAGTTTACATATATTGCAAGTTTACATGTATTGCAATATGTAGCATATATTGCAAATTAAAATCATAATTAGAGGTGCACTGTTTTTTTTTTTCAACATTGGTGGACTTTACTTCTTCAGCTTTCATATCAATCACAACAAAGTTCAAATAAAAGCAAATGTGATTTTAACGGTTTTTAACTGAAACGTTGATGTCATATGAACTTGTGTATTATATATATTTTAGCTATTTACATAGAGTTAAGATTATGAAGCCTTGTATTTCAGATTTTTTCTTACACAAAAAAGAAAGCATTGCAGACAGATGATGTATGTCTAGACGTATCATCACTGCATGGGCCAGTTAAGTTATTCCAATGCCACGGTTTAGGGGGAAATCAAAAATGGGAGTATGATCAGAAGGTAAACTTATCTCCCGATGCCGAAGAGTGATCTAGGAAAGATAACTCTTAGACTAGTGTGTGTGTTTCAATAAAAGCTGAACTTTCCAAAACTGTCTTTCAACATACACCATAGAAGCACACTAAAGTTTGCCTTCACATTAAGAATTGAATCACTTGACAAATGGTTGTGTTCATGTGAGACAGATTTTCTGAGAGTTCAGCTTTTGTTCTTCTAATTTTACTTTCATTTTCAGTTTCGGATTTTAGTATTCCAGCGGAGTTGAAGATCACCCCCCAGCATGACGTGTTTTCTCTCTCACTGCACCGCTTGACTGACCTTTCCTTCTTACGTCTTTCTGGGGGATTATTATTTATCATGGAATTTTGCAAGCATTTTGAAAACTTTTTTACATGCACTATACCTTATATTGTGGTATGAGGCATTCCCATGGCTTCAGAAATTTATCAAAACATTAGGAATTTGTGTAATATTTAATATTTCTAAACTCCCTCTTTTGCATGGCTTATTTTAAATAAACCGCTAAAAATTTAATGAAACAGATCACTGGCCATTCTGTCAGAAATAAATAAGAGAAAGGGAGATAAGTCCTGGAGTGGGAGAGAGGACAGCCTTAGTTAAGTGTTGGTAGATAGTACGACTTTGGTAGTTGTGTAGCCTTTTCTTTTAATGTCTCCCTCTGCATGACTACGTAGGTGTTCGCATATTCGGGGACCAAACAACTAGTTACAGATGACAATCTGTGTATTGATGCTAGCTACAACACCCCCGTCTTTATCCGCTGTGATTCGGGCAAGGGACAATGGGAGTTTGTTAAAGAGGTAGATTTTACTAAACATTATTAATCTGCAACTTCCCTCAGTGCTCCGTTATTGTAATGACGTCTAAATGTTGAGGTGGCTTGTCATATGTGAGATCCTTGTGTTATAAATGTGGTTAAGGAATCTCTAGGCTTCTATGGGAGGAAGATGGCTCTTTGCATGTTGGGTAAAAGGTGTGGATCGGATGTTTTTTTAAGGAGGAATGAGAAAAAGGACACTTTAATGAGAATGCTGCTGATTTCACGATATGCTAAGATAGAAATAAAATATCATTCTTTTCTAGAATATTTTAAGTTTGTGCAATTATGATTATAGTAGCTTATAATAGAAATGAGAAGTTGCTTATAGTTGGTCTTCATCTAAAGATTGCAGGCACCAATATGAGATATGTCTTTCACTCTTACTATCTCTATTTCACTCATTTCAAACAGCAATTGGAAATTTGAGGCATGTGTGATATAAATATATTTTTATAGATAATAATATTCATTGGTTGGATAAGAGCTGTTTTATGTGCATGTAGATCTTGTGGTGGTAGATTTTATCTGGGTAAAGGTATATAGCATGATTAGAAATAGACAACAAAGGTATTCCTACAAATGACATCATTGCTTATCTTAAAGAGAACCTACAACAGCTTTAAAATGTAAATGTGTGAAAATAATAGTGTACATGTTTTGCAAAATTTACCCCTCCCCTTCCTCCTCTTCATGTAAATGAAAGAAAAATTCTTCGATTCTTCGTGCTATGTTGGGAAATAAATCAGTGAAATCTTCAGACCTAGCTATACCTTTAAATAAATATTTGTTATAATAATTCTTTTTGCATCAAACACTAGAGAAATATGTCTGAATTCAATTTAACAATGTTAGCTGTCAGGTGGAGAAAATAACACATTCATATGTAGCATTCTTCATTGATAGATAGTATGAGCATTCAATACCACTTCTGTCATAGAATAACTTTCTGAATCATCAAAAGTTTCAAATATTTAGAAAAAGTGTTTTAGAATTCAAACTTTTTTCAACTACTCTATCAGTTGTTATTTCATTGAATTGTTCCTTCTTATGTACACCTCTAAATTGTCCCTTCATACAACATTTCTGAAGTATCATTTCATTTGAACATTAATTTATGTATTGTTCTTTCATGTAAAATTTTCTGAACCATCCCTTCATATGATCATTTCTGAATTGTCCCTTTATTTGAGTTTTTTAAAATTATCATTTCATTTGAACAGTTATGAGTTGTAAATTCATATGAGCATTTCTGACTTGTCCCTTTATTTGAACACTTCTGAATTTATCCTTCATTTGAACCTTTTGTAAATGATGAATTGTCCCTTTATATGAACATTCCTGACTAGTTCCTTCATGTCCACATTTCTCTTACAGACCTCTGAGCTGAAGCATGTGAACAGTAAGCAGTGTCTGGGAGCAGCTGGACCAAATGACAAGGACGCTCCATCTGTCGGTGAGTGGAGGGATGTCTATAATACTGTAGATCACTTAATTTTTGCGATACTTTATTTAAGCGAGATATTCATTGCCTCTTTATTAGCGAGGCAAAATTTTCATGAATTGTGGTTATTGCTCTTCATAATCTAAAGCAATACTTATGTACATGAGAATGATATTTTTGGGAGCACACTGTCTCACGTAATTACGCCAAAAGAAAGTTCTAGTGAATAAAAAGTGATTTACAGTATAATGTGTAGGCTCGAGAGTTTACACATACAAGGTATACCTAATCTATGCAAAGAAATTTCGACCCCTGTTTTATTTTTGCCCTCGTAGCAATTAGGAGAATTCAAACTGGGAAGAATTCATAAAAAAAATTGATCTTTTAAACAGAACTTTGTCTGGGCAAATTCAGAATTAGGCACAATAATTGATGTGAATTGCGGAAGGGGAAAAATAAAATGGGATGAAAATAACCATGTATACAGTATGATGTATAGACTGGATTGTATAGAGAATAGAGGAATTGCCTTTATTTCTTCTTTGATTGTTACTCTTCTCTTTTCTCTTATCATTGATTCATGTTCATTTCATAATGCTGTGTATTTTATCCCCATGGGATGAATTACAATAGGGCCTTATTCCATTCCACCATAGATTCACGTATTATCTATGACTTATAGACAATGTGACCTTGACCTTAATGTACTGAATATGTCATTAAATTGTATTCTTCTATTCCAGGACCATGTGATGGTAGTGCCAGGCAAAAATGGCTTCTAACCGACATGAAATTTTAGAGGAAGACAGAGACTTTTATTCTGCCGTAGTGTGATAATCAGCGATAAACGTCCGTGTTCTCAAACCAATCTCATCACCATGGGGACCAGAGGTCAAGGTCAGCCAATCAAATTACAGAGTCATTCTGTGTCAGATTGTGTGAATATATCCAGATTGGTGCTCAGATTTCTAGTCATCTGATTATGTGTGTCAGGGTCATCTGATCTTAACCTTTGACCTTGATCTGACTTTGTCTGTTGAGAAATGATTTCTGGATAATTTTTAATTGGAGAGTCAAAGACTTTGGTCTTATATATATTGATGTTGCTAGAGGATTTTTTAAATTTGTTATTTTCTTATATTACTCTATTGCATCAATATGAAACTTGTAAAAATGTGTGAATATTAAAGTTTGTGGATGATTGCTTTTTAACAAAGTTAATTTAGCAGTGTGATGGTTTTGTTTGTATACAACATGTAGAATTTGTAAATTGTGTTTGTTATGTGTTTTACTGATTTTAGAAGTGAAATACTTAGATTTACAGGAAATAATCAGAATGTGTGTTAAAATTATATTAATTTATTGAAGCACATTTCATGTTTGTTTACTTAGATTTCAGATTTTTCTGTGAAAATGTTGGGAGATTTATGAATGATGCATATGAATTAATGATTTTTTACTTTGTTTCACTTTTGTTTGTAGCTACAATCAGTTTATTAACCTCTTTATTTAGATTTCAGTTTAATATTAATACATTTTACTTTTGTTTATCATAAAGAGGGGGTTGGGGAGAATTGATGTATATTTTAAGATTGTAGGCTGATCATAAAAGAGGGTCCTATATCAAGGGTTGCCTATGTTGTATAGTGTGTGTGATATGTAAGTAAGATGTACATTTAGTACGTACTCTCATCATTCCAAGAAGTGGAGTTATAGCTCAGAGTATGTTTACAGTATTATATTGTATTGTTTGTATAGAGGGTTTGCACACACAAAAAGGTTATAAAGTCTATTATTTTTCGTTGGGATAGATATTTTATTTTGTATAACTCTGTCGTGTAATCAATCAAATCTTTAAAGGCAGTTTTCTGAGCAGAATTTGTCTATCTTTTCACATTTTTTGATAAACATTCTCTATATTTACAAGCTAATGGGTGAATATTAAATCTGATTAAAGGCACTTGATATCAAGGGGGGCTTTTCCAAACATATCTTTTACTGATGAAAATAATCATTAAAAATGCCGGGGATGAACAGCTTTGATTAATTTTTCATGGAATCGGTTATACCAATAATACTCTCTATTAAATTCATAGTTTATGTCAAACATCATTTTGCTATAAGTGGGAATTCATGATAAGCATGATCCATTTGGGTATTTTTTAAAAACAATTTATATCTTATTTTTTTTCACCCTTTCTCCAAACCCACTCAATTCTATCAGTTCCCCATCACCGTCTCTGACCAGGATGTCTCTGAGTGATGTGTTTGATATTTTTAGGTCACCTGAGTAAACTCAGGTGACCTATTGCTATCTGTTTTCGTCCGTCGTCGTACGTCGTACGTCGTTCGTAAACTTTTGAACATTTTCAGCTTCTTCTCTGCAACCACTGAACCAATTTCAACCAAATTTGGCACAAAGCATCTATGGGTGACAAGGAACAAAAAAATGTGAATTTCATGATCCATGCCCCCCTGGGGCCGGAGGGGTGGGGCAAAAACCACTAAAATTAATGCAATCTTTGAAAATCTTCTTCTTTACTCCTGGACATCAAGCAGTCAAACTGTTTGCATGATTGTAATCAGCATTGAGTCCTCTACCAAAATTGTGAAATTCATGGCCCTGGGGTCAGGGGTTCTAGTGCTAGGGCAGGGCTAAATAAGTAGGTAGTGATAATGCATTATTTCTTTGAAAATCTTCTTCTCTGCTCCTGGGTATTAAATAAACCAACTAAGTAGTTAGTTATGATGAGCAAGAGTGCTTCTACCAAAATTGTGAATTTTATGGTCCCTTGGTCAGGGGTTCTGGTGTTAGGGCGGGGCTCTCTTGATTATATACATTGAAAATACATGATTTCTTTGAAAATCTTCTTCTCTGCCCCTGGGTATTAAATAAACTAACTAAGTGCATAGTTATGATGAGCAAGAGTGCCTTTATCAAAATTGTGAATTTTATGGCCCCAGGGTCAGGGGTTTTGGTAAGGGGGGGGGGGGGGCTTTATAGATTATATAGTAAAAATACATGAATTCTTTGAAAATCTTCTTCTCTGCTCCTAGATATTAAATAAATTAACTAAGTGCATAGTTATGATGAGCATGAGTGCCTCTATCAAAATTGTGAATTTTATGGCCCCAGGGTCAAGGGTTCTGGTAGGGGGGGGGGGGGGGGCTCTATAGATTATATAGTAAAAATACATGAATTGTTTGAAAATATTCTTCTCTGCTCCTAGATATAAATAAATTAACTAAGTGCATAGTTATGATGAGCATGAGTGCCTCTACCAAAATTTTGAATTTTATGGCCCCAGGGCCAAGAGTTCTGGTGTTAGGGGGGGGGGGGCTCTATTGATTATATAGTGAAAATACACAAATTCTTTGAAAATCTCCTTCTATGCTCCTAGGTATTAAATAAACTAACTAAGTGCATAGTTATGATGAGCATGAGTGCCTCTACCAAAATTGTGAATTTTATGGCCCCAGGGCCAAGAGTTCTGGTGTTAGGGGGGGGCTCTATTGATTATATAGTGAAAATACACAAATTCTTTGAAAATCTCCTTCTATGCTCCTAGGTATTAAATAAACTAACTAAGTGCATAGTTATGATGAGCAAGAGTGCCTCTACCAAAATTGTGAATAATTTTATGGTCCCTGGGTCAAGGCTTCTGGTGTTGGGGGGGGGGGGAGGGCTATAGATTATATTGTAAAAATACATGAATTCTTTGAAAATCTTCTTCTCTGCTCCTAGGTATTAAATAAACTAACGAAGTGCATAGTTAAGATGAGCAAGAGTGCTTTTACCAAAATTGTGAATTTTATGGTCCCAGGGTCAGGGGTTCTGGTGTTAGGGTGGGGCTCTATAGATTATATAGTAAAAATACATAAATTCTTTGAAATCTTCTTCTCTGCTCCTAGGTATTAAATAAACTAACTAAGTACATAGTTATGATGAGCAAGAGTGCCTCTACCAAAATGTGAATTTTATGGTCCCAGGGTCAGGGGTTATGGTGTGTGGGGGTGGGGGGGGGGGGCTCTATTGATTATATAGTGAATATACATTAAATCTTTGAAATTTTCTTCTCTGTCTCTGGGTATGAAGCAGATGAACTACCTAAATAGTTATGATGAGCAAGGGCCCTAATCTTGCAAAATTTTGAATTTCAAGGCCCCAGGGTCAGGGGTGGATGTGGGGCTCTACTTATATACTGAAAATGAATTAATTGTTTGAAATCTGCTCCTTTGTATTTATAAAACATTTATTTATTTTTTGATAGGCAATTTTAACGGTGCCTTTTTAAAATTTGTGCAATGTGTGGACCTAGGGTCAGGGGTTTATTTCACAGTGTTAGGGGCATTACTGATTATTGCTGAATATTACTGATTAGTTGGAATGCATTTTTTTTCCCTACCTTGCGTATGGGTATTCAGTACCCCTGCGAGGTGATCATGAATAATTCATGAATTACCTTGAATTTTTCATGAATTTTATTCATGAAATGTTCATGAAACGTTTAAGATCCTATGAACTTATTATTGGGCATATTTAAATCAATAAACCAAGCTAAGCAACTGCTAAGTGTATTGTTATGATGATCAATGGTGCCTCTTTCAAAATTGTGGATGCCATATAGCATCTGGCTTAAAACATGAATCAAATTCAATAACTGGAAAGTTGTTGCAGAATGTCAGGTGACCTATAAGGCCCGTGGGCCTCTTGTTATGTTTCTCTCTTTATAAGTATTTCAAACATTTTATTAAATGTTCTTCACTCTTTTTACAGCAATATGAATAGATTTTTGTGTCGTTATAAAGTAGGATTCTGTATCATATATTGTTTCACATCTTTCTTTTTTTCTTTTTATTTGTTAATTTACAGATGTGAAAAATGCATACCATATATACTTGCCTTTAAGTCTGTTGTATTTTGGAGTAGGGGAGATGTAGAGGATTTTACTTCTGAGTATATTTTGGATATAAAATCAATCTATTATCTTGTATGAACAGTTAAAACAAATACATGTGTCATTAAATTCAGTAAAATTTTTCACCTATTAAAGCATATATACCACTATTGTCAGTATTGGTAGTTATATAAATACAGTAAAATTTCATTATCTCAAACTCAATGAGACCGAGACAAAACTTCGAGATAATTGAAGATTTGAGATATTGAGGGTAAGAATAAGTGGTAGGGACTTGCACATGGTCTTGATCTATCCATGATGTTCAAGATACTAGTTTCAAAATACCGAACTTACACTGTGCCATGTTTCATCTTTAAAAAAAAAAATGCTGATGTTGTTTCAAAGACGCATTTATGAATATCATAAAGGGTAATCATATAAGTTCAACATAGAATTTTGGACCAAAATTTACTTCCCCTAGAACCAGACTTATAGACAAGTATATGTTTGAGATGTGTCATATAGATGTGATAAAGAGTTGTAATGCTAGAGAGGGAGTAAATTAAGCCATTACAAATGTTTGTTGTTATTGTCCAGCCATAGTTTTATTAATACTTACTGTTTGAGAGTTATTCCAGCATTATAGTTTTAGTGTGCAATTGCAAAATTTTGAATGGAGAATTTTTTGTGTATATGTTGCAGAATTTTACATTATTTATGTATATATGTACAATTTATTTCATATGAATAGCATTTTATGCAAATTTGCAACTATGAAGTAGCATTTTATGCAAATTTGCAGCTATAATAACCAAAAAAGCTTAAAACAATTAACACTTTCTGCAACATGGTTAGAAAATCGTTCCTTTAAAATTTATGAATTTTATCATTTCGGTAGTATTCTTTTCAACTTTATCTTTTTGGGAATTATATAGTACATTGCACTAATCCTATGCAGGTTTAATTATAAAAATGATCCAAGTTAATCCCAGGTCATTTCTCCATTCAGAAATACTGACAAATTGTTTAAGGATTTTTTACAGATATTGGTAACGTCATGTCCATTTTTATAATATGCTTTAAACATTGTTTATATTAATATATTGTCATGTTCTTTAATATTTTAATCATTGAGGATATTGTTGACATTTAATATTTATTAACTATGATTTAAACTTGCCATTTTCAAAATATGATTTTGTTCACCCCTGCACTCAGCTACATGTATTTGACTGTTGAATTTCTTCCCTAATTCTTCCTTAATTTTTTAGAAAGACTAATGATATAATCTGACTGACATTATATGTACAAATTTGAAATGCAGCATTCAAAATCGTACGTGTATTGAACGTATGTTCAAGTGTGTTGTTAAGTGCGCATACTGTATACAGGGAAATTTTCGCCCCCGCTTTATTTTGATCCATTTCGCCTTATGTACAGGTGGGCAATTTTAAAATAGGGCAAAATTGTTTGCAAGTGTGAAATGGCAAAAATAGCATAGAGCAAAAATAACCCTGTATACAGTATTTATTTTGGAAGATATCATAATGGGCTGTGTTTATTGTCCACAATATGTTTAACAAGTCAAATAGGGGGTTGAAAAGGTACAGAAGTTAAAACTGATTAAAAAGAGGGGGTCTTAAAATGAATTAATCTTCCAGAAGTATGTTTCCTTCAAATTGTTAAAGTTTATATCATTCTGTTTATATGAGAAAGTTATATGTATAAACAGGTACTTATCCAGTATTATTTTATTCAGGTTTTCCTCCTTGATTTTAATCTTGAAAATATTCAGAAGTCTGATTTATAAAGTGCTAGGTTCATTGCTTTAAACTAAGGCTATTAATTTTTTTTTAAGAAATGTCAAGGAATCAATGTATTTTAAGATTCTGTTTTTTGTAATGAAGATTGATATTAAGAATTTTTTCAGAAAGATTTTAAAATTTCTGTACTGTATTTTCACTCGAAAGTTTTATCTCGTGTCCATTGTAGCACAATTAAAATGCAAAAATATAACAGGAATTGAACCAATTTTACATAAATATCCAATGAAATCATTTTAAAGGTCAGGTGTTTTTCTAATTTCTGATGCAGAATGATTCAGTGATTTTAATAGAAAAAAAAAGAAACTAATGTTATTTATACATTCACAATGTTTGATAATCCCATATACTTAAAACCATAACATCTGACTCTTAGTTTTGAAAACGAAACATTCCATTAATGGCAAATCAAGGGTGCAATGCCACTTTATAGTTACAATAGCTTTATAGTGGTATAGGTAAATGAAATTTTATGCATTCTAAATCTTTGTTTAATCATTCCATCTGACTAGTGATTAATTAATGAAAAATTGTACAAGTATAATTCTGTAAAAGGATATTTTTAGGTCATTGTCAAATTCAAAAGAATCAGTTCTTACAGAATTTTTTTTCTGTGTGTTTGATGGAAAGATTTTTGCTTTTTAAAAAAGTTTTTATTGGAAACCCTAATTGTTATATGTCTAAAACTGTGTGGAGAATTATATAATCATATGAAAAGTATGTAGGGAATATAAAATAGTAATAAAATGTAGAAAATGAAAACAGGTGTTAAAGATTTTTTTATTACATAAATTTGTTATTCGACCCATTGCCCGCGTGGCACAGTGGTTAGAGCGTCTGCTCTGCTGAGTCGCAAAGTAAGGAGTCGATCCTTACATGGCAGGTTCGAATTCCTACTGTGGGCCCTGGAGACCGGTCCTTTGGATTAGACTGTATCAACCGAGGTCCCGTGTCGCAGTAGGTGCTGGCACAAAAAAGATCCCTCTCTGCTCAGTGGCCCTTAGTGCCGAGTATAGGACAAAATTTGTAGCTCTCTGCAAGTGGTGGCGTCTCCATATGAAAAATTCTCGAGAGGGACGTTAAACAACACAATCAATTAATCAATCAATCATACGACCCAAAAATTCACCATCCATCCATTTGCTGATTATTCTCAACAACAAAGGTTTGGTTTCCATGCTTACTTTTAACAACTGTCGGTCTTGGAATTCTTCGATAAGAAAAAAAATAGACGTCTTTTGGACAAGCAGCCATAGTTCATTGATTATGTAACATGAAAATATTTGTATTCAAATATCTTGATTAGTTTCTTAATTTATTTTTACCCAATACATGTAGACATTTAAATTAAGGTCATTAGGAAGGTCAAACAAAAGTAATAAGCATTGGTCAATTCTGACTAAATGATGCATCAGTGTATAAGCTTTAATAAAAATATCTTGAATAGTTTCTTTGAAACTGGCCTAGACAAAAATTTGAGAAAATAAGGAAAGGTTAAGGTCAAAAAGTGTCGAAGTTGATAAAAGCTTTCCTCAATTTGTATGAGCACATTTGTACAAAAATATCTTACTTGTTTCTTTAAAACTTAGCTAGACGCTATTTTGAGAAAAAGTGAGGGCAAGGTTAATTGAAAGGTCAAGGTTAAAAATATTAATGCAACTGAGAAGCTCTCATCAATATGTATAAGCATATGAAGGTATGATCATGCTTGCACATTTATAAGTACACTTTGAGCATGTGAAAGGAATGCGTACGATGTTTCATTGTTAAACTCATTTATTTATTGTGCAAAAACAAAATACAAAGCTATAGTGTTTATCATGTGACATTGAGAATACAATGTATAACATAACCATAATCATTTTAATAAATATCTTTCTTGCATGGTCTATGAGCAAATATTTTACATTTTTAAATGAATGTTATTCATAAGCTAAAATAAGCATATCAAAAGAAAAAAAAAATCATGTTTTTGATATTTTTTGATAAGTACTAGTACGTGACTGTTAATACTACATGTATAAAGTAATGTTTCTACAAATCCGCTTAATCAATAATCACTTGATATAATCCCTTTATATTTTCAAAAAATAAGTCAGGAGAGAGTTCCATGAAAGAACTACAAATATCTCTCCTGAAAAAAGGAGAAAAAACCCATTTTTCTCATTTTCCTAAAACGCTGTTTAATTGACCTTTAGTAAAAATCATGAAACAGCTCTGGTCATGTGAAATCTTTGTTTGTAGAAGGAACAGGTGAACATTTTCTACCAGTGAATTTGAACTTTCATTCAAGAAAAAAAGGCATTCTTGGGTTAATGTAATCTTTTGCCCTTGCAATGTTTCTTCTTTATGAAGTTACTGACCGGGAAATATTGCACGAACGGACAGGTAGACAAGGTGATTCCTGTTCAACTTTAAAATTGGTTGGAATATAAAAATATTTTTAATCAAAGTAAATAAAACGCCTTTTTTTAACCAGATATTTAAAAATAATAATATTTTGATATATGCTTGTGTGTTTGTTTCTCTCTTTTTTTTTTTTCGAGTATACTCTTTTAAAATTCCTTCTACAGTGTAATACACATTGTCAGTATAAGGGCTGAGAGCATTGTGAACACAGACTGGATTTTCACTAGATCCGCCCCACTGTCACAAATGGTCAGTGGAGCTTTGGACGCCTCGTCCTTAATCACCGGGGAATAGACCTTCTCCCAAAATGTTGTCTTGCCCTTTACCACTGTTGCTCTGAAATTAGATGTCAGCAAGTCTATGTAATATATTTTAAACAATATTATAATTGTCAAGTTCCATACCATCAGGTTATACGCACAACATAGGTTTTATATTATTGCTTATTTTATGTAATTAAACCATGTTATAAATACAACTTTGGTCAGGTTTAAAGTCATAGTTTTAATGCTAACACGAATACACGGATCCTTATGTGTATGTAAGATCTAAAATTATATAAATAAAAATATTTTCTCTCTCTCTCTCTCTCTCTATCTCCATTCTATCTGTCTCTCTTTCGAAGTTAATCGTCGTTACCTGAAGACGAGATGACCAACAGGCGATGAGAAATCAGCTTTCCAGTAGAACACTTTACTCTCTATCTTGGAGTGATTCATGTGTACCACTGCACTCTAGTCAAAATAAAACGGAACAATTATTAACCATTAGATCATAAATACTTAATCTTTAAATCAATAATAATAATAATAAAAAAGAGAGATGTGTTTTGTGAAACAATGATGCCCCCAAAGATTAAGTTTTCTAAAATGCAAGTCAAGGCCTAGTTATCGAAAATATTAGTACCTAAAGAAGGGTCTTGTCACAAGGAATACATATTTTAAATATGGTTCAAAAAATGTTTGGATACCAATTGAAATCAAAGCCCATATCAAAACAAAATAGAATACACAATTAAAACATCAAAGGTGGATCAGGTACCATGGAGGAGTGAGCATCCAACTGTTAAAACCTTATGGCCTTGTCATATATTGGTACGCAAAAATCTTGTCGTTCAATTCAACTAACAAACCTGTTAAATATTAAAGCATTTGACTCAATTATAAATTTTATTTGCTGACAAGGTCATTGTATCGACCAAAGAACCTACGAAATGATGAATTTAAACGAGACTGCTGATATTCTTGTTTCATCAACTTGTTGGTAAATAATTTGCCTCGTTTTAGAAATTGTTCACACGTAGAGCATGCTCTTGCGTATCGAATCAACTGAGATATATAATCGTCATAAACCATTTTATAAATTGTTTCTTTGTCAATTTCATTCACGTTTCATCGCTTCATCTGATTGCTGCATTTTTTGGTCCTCTGACTAAAAGTAGTTGACTTAATTAATTCCCCCAAACCACTTCTTTTATCAAATAGTAAATCAAAATGAGTTTTTTAGTTTACTTGTATAGATTTTTTTAAGCAGTGTATAAAAAATCTATACACGTGACTTACTTTTCAAAAAAAGAAGTGGGTTTTATTTGAAATTGATTTGGTCAACTTCTTTTAGTCAGAGGGTCAGGGTAACAGCGATATGTAAAATGAAATTTTAGTGTATGAGTATTGATGAAAAAAAATATACCTCATATCTTTAATTTATGGTGAAATAAAAAATTATTGATTTTTCTATTCACCATATCGAAATTTCGTTATATTATGATTATCGACATAATATTCATTTCTGAAAAAAAAGAATCGCCTCATACTATTTTCCATTTGAATCTAGTTGATTGCTATTGATGAAAATCAATGTTGAGAACATTCTTTAAATACGAGGATTCGATCAAAAAGTTCGCAAGCTATATTCCTAAAACAATTGAAATAAGGTTTCAGTGTTCATTATACTTTAAAGTAGTCCTCTCCTATTTAAAAGAACATCTGCCGATCACGTAATCCAGGCAGACATGACATGTTTCGTACCATTCTGTTCACAGAAGCTTTACCCTCCAATTGATTTAAAAAAAACAAAACAAGAAAGACTGAAGAGTCCATGTGTCAGAAATGGCCTAATCTTGGAGATGGGATGGGCGGTAAAGGATATCCTTTCATTGACCATTAAAACCATCTCACTTTTTCACTAAAATATAGAATAAGCCTCCATCAAATTACTGTATGATTTTTATTCGAATTTCTTTTTTACCGAGGGTAAGGCTTTTTTTGCGATCATTTATTTTAATCTGTTGCTAATAGACAAGGAGACTGTAAGGAGTATATGATACTTTCTCGCACGCGAATAAAATTTGGTTTACAGTATTTCAAAGTAAGCATTTTTTTTAATACAATATTAGTGTGATATTCAATTATTTTTCTATCAAGTGCTCTTTATCACATTGAATAACTAAGTTCACTTTTATTCCTCAGCTTGCCTTCACTGGGCAACAGAACAACGTCATTTTTAAGCTTGTGCATAAACAAATATTATTACTAAGTATATGATACTGCGACGGAATTTACATTTTTTTAGTATCAGTGTCAAGAATATCAATTCTTTTATTAATTAATTATATTTTAACCCTAGTAGGTATTTAAATCAAGGTCTGATAAAAATCAAGACCATAGAGTTGATTGTTACTATGTAAATTCCTTTCACCACGGAGGCCATTTTGGATTTACAGGTAAGAACCTATTCCATTTTTCAATTTAAACATTCGATTTGATTCATTTCTGAAAACTTTTCTTTTTGTGTATCATTACGTTACTTTTACTTTAGAAATTCTAAGCTTAAAATATTCTGACTTTAACTGTTTTCATTCTTTTCATTTGGTCTTTATTTCCGCATTTACAACTTTTTTTCCTTGCTTTCAAACATCTTGCATCTACATTTTAAAATCAACCAGAAAATATTTAGAGTGCTCTTTAAGAGATAATACTGTTTCAATATTAAATTTGCCCATTTGCAACAAGTGTGAAAGGAGCTAAAATACAATTTTAAGGTTAATATCCCTTTGATATGTACCATAATATAGGCAACTCTTTCATTTCTGAATTTTTTAAACAAATATCGTTTACCATTTTCTTATGCCAAAATTTTTAAAATTTGAGATATTTCTATCCCTTAACATGTAGGCTTAATTATTTTAATTGTTACAGTAAAAATAAAAAAAAATCTATTTTTATTTGCCAGTTTGTTAATTTGAAATATTTCTATCCCTTAACGTTTTATAATCAATTCATCTATATTTTTTTTCTAATGTGAATATATTGAAACTATAATAAATATTATTTTCATGTTTACCTCATACATGTATCTCTATTTTATGGTGAGATGAAAAAATATTTATTTTTCTTTCCTGTAACCTTATCAAATTTTCTTCATTTTAATGAAAATTGCAAAATTTGCGTCTCGCTAAAACTTTCACTTATACGGCTTTTTCCGTACGAACCTAGTGTTTTTGTTGATAAAGTACAGTGAAATTGGTGCATTATGGATATATATAGTTGACGCCTTCTTTTTAACTTATAAACAAATAAAGGTTTCAGCGTTCATTATACTTGTATTTTTAAAAGATTTAATAGTTATATTAGTATTAAGATATTCAACAATTTTTCTAGCAGTAATTCAGGCAGTCACGTGACATACTCCATATCATTCTGTTCACAGAAGCTGAAAATATTTTTCCAAGTCTTATATTTTTTACCATGCAATTTATTTTTTATAACAAGAACAACTGTCAATTTAACCATCTCTCTTCTTATAGCTGATTGAAGTTTTTCATAAAAATTGTTAATCCACCTTTGTCTATAGACTCTTTTAATTGACGAGGATTTTCCACATTACTTTTTAATCTTGTCAGAAAGATTTAAAGTCTAAAGTAAACGATATTTTAGGGATTTAATAATTATATTAGTGTTAAGATATTCAACTACATGTATTTTTCTAACTGTAACTTGGCGATCTTTCATCACAACTTCTATTTTGTATTGTTTAAAGGACTTTGATATTGCAACAGAACAAACGTTATTTTTAAGAATATCCTTCTTCACTAAAACAACCAATCCATTTTATGATTGAACTTTTGGAAAATCTTTTGTCTTCATAAACCTTATACAAATTATTATATGATACTGCTAAGGAATTTCAAAGTTACATCATGTACATGCTTTTAATTAAGTATCAGTGTCAAGAATATCAATTACTTTTATTAATTAATTATAGTCAAACCCTGGATGGTATTTAAATCATAACCTGATAGATGTTTGAAAGCTAGAATCACGACCAGAGATTTGATTGTTAAATTCCTTTCACCGCGGAGGACGTATTGAATTTGCTTATTCCATTTTACAATTTAACTTAAGCATTCATTCAATTTGATTCATTTCTGAAAACTGCATCCAGTTGTATATCATTACGTTACTGTAACTTTAAAACAACCAAAGCTTGAAATATTTAGACTGTATTTAATTTATTGCTTATTAATTTTTATCCTGTTTTCAATTGTTTTCATTCTTTCTTTATTTTCGCATAAACAGTGTTTTCCTTGCTTTTAAGCACTATTATTTTAAATTAATTCAACCAGAGTTCTTTTAAAGAGATAATATCATTTCTATGTTAAGTTCGCCTATTTGCAACAAGGGTGAAAGTAGGTAAAGAACAGTTAAATTTTCCTGTTAACAACATTCTTAAAATAATTTTGATCGATAGTATTCTTTAATATGCAGGCTGTCATCGAGTGACAGAGGACTATGTCATCCTCAATGTTTTTTTAAATTCTTCGATGTTTCATTTCATGAATTTATGTTTTACTTTCACTCCTACTATATTTTATTATACAAGGACTAGTAATCAACCATTTTGATTCCACAGCTTATCTTCATCAACTGACTAATATACACAATATGGATCCCCGTTACAGTGCCCAAGACATCCTTCTCTGTGACCTATGTCAAACAGCTGCATTACAGAGTCATTGTGAACGTTGTCATATAAACCTCTGTGTAGTCTGTGTTAGAAAACATCTCTCTAATTCACCCCAAAGACACCATGTTGTACCATACAAACACAGAACATCTCCAAACTTCCCAAAATGTCCAAACCATACTCAGGAACATTGTGAACGATATTGTGAAAAATGTGACATTCCTGTCTGTATAATTTGTGTCTACTCTGGAAAACATAAAGGACATGATTTACCTGATACTGTGCAGAAACTGAATTCAAAAACAAAGGATTTAGAAAAAGACTTGATAGAACTAAAGAAAAGAATCTTTCCTGCATATCAAGAAATTGCATCAGATTTACACTCTGAAAAAGAAAACTTGGAAAAACAGTATGATAAACTTACAACAGTTGTCACCAAGCGAGGAGAAGACTGGCACAAAGAAATTGACATCATTGTCAACAAACAAAAATCTGGGATTGATGAGATGGAAAAAGTACACCTGGGCGCTTTAAAGACAAAAGAAAGAGAAATAGAAAACATTATTTATGAAATTATACAGTGTATCCTTAAAATGAAGAAAATACTGAATTCAAATGATGTCTCCCTAATCTCTGCTTACAAATCCAGGAATGCTGAATTCAGAAGTTTACCACCGAAAGTCAATGTTGCATTACCAAGTTTCTTTCCTCGTCATATCAACCAAGAACGACTTCGTCAAATGTTTGGTTTTCTGTCATCATTATCCATTACAAAAGACAAGCGTGGCTACACAATGAAAGCACTAGAAGCTGTTTCGGCATCCTTTCCTCCAATCAAACCACTGCTTGATGAACCAGTGCTCATCGCAACCATTAACACCGAGTATGCTGAAATAAAGAGCGTTACCTGTCTCAATGATGAAAGAATCTGGGTATGTGGGAATGATAGTATTATAAAACTCTATAACCTTCGGAACAAACTACTTAATCTAATCAGAACCAAGTCAGGAAACTATCCATGTGACATAGCAGTGACAAGGAATGGAGATCTAGTTTATACCGAGTCAGTAATAAGAATTGTAAACATAGTGAAGAATAGAGAGATAGAGGTAGTCGCAAGGCTACACGACTGGGAACCTCACGTTGTCTGTAGTACCTACTCTGGTGACCTCTTTGTTATTATGGAAAGTGATGATGAAGAACAATCAAAAGTTGTCCGTTACTCTGGCTCTATAGAGAAACAGACCATTCAGTTTGATAAAAAAGGTAACGCCTTGTACTCAATAGGTTTCTATAAATACATCACAGAGAACAGGAACCTTGATATTTGTGTTGCTGACCATGGAACCAAAGCTGTAGTGGTTGTCAATCAAGCAGGAAAACTCCGATTTAGATACACTGGTCATCCCTCTACTTCCAAGAAATCGTTTATGCCACTGGGCATCACGACAGACAGCCAATGTCATATTCTGATAGCAGACAATGTCAACGACTGTATCCACATCCTAGATCGGGATGGACAGTTCCTTCGTTACATTGACAGCTGTGGTTTACGTAATCCGCGGTGTTTATGTGTAGACACCAGAGACAACCTCTTTGTGGCTGAGTTTGGCAGTGGTAAAGTAAAGAAAATCAAATACGTGTAATGGATTCAATCACCAGGCATTATATGAGTATTTCCATATTAAATTAAACCATCACTATCAACAGAATAAACAAATAGATGAGAATCTGTTGTTCAAAAACAAGAGATTTGGAAAACTCTTTTATAAAGTAATTGAAAATAGCTAGCTAATCTACTAATCTAGTACCCAGCACCACACCAAAAAATATATATATGTTTACATGCCCCTGTAAATAATTTGATCTTCTCTACTCAATATATAGCCATTTAGATTATACACATTCAACAAAATCCCTCAATGTTATAGCAAACTTTTTTCCTCAGGAAAAAATATTCAAAACCTGCCTGAGAGAAAGAAGACACTCGCTTTTGTCTTTAACTCGACATTTGATATATCACTGACGTACATGTATCAATTAGCAATAGTTCTGAATATTTTATCATATATATTAACTAGAAATATCCCTGTGAGCTAAATAAAAAAAAGATACCACATCATTTGACAAATTCCTTTTATATTAAGATATTTTACAAGAAAAAGACAATAATGGTAATCTAACAACAACTTAAACTTTTTGATAAAAATGATGAATGCAACTATTCAATCGTCAACGTTCCTTACATATGCAGCAATAAACCCTTATCATCTGCTATTGGGGTTTACATCTCTCGGTTGATTAGAAATCGGAAGAATCTTCGAACAATTTCCAAAAACGAGGAATCTATTGACAAACAAGTTGATGAAACAAGGATTTCAACAATCTCATTTCTCTATTTGTTCTGTTCTGTATTTAAACAATGACTTTGTCAACAATCCAATCTGACATTTAGTCGAATGTAGACTGATGGTTTTTATGCTGTTTAGCTATTGTTTATACACTGATTTGTCTATATAGTAGAATGATTTTTGTGTTTCTTTCCTGATCTTTCCTATCATGACAATACGCACACGGCAGGGTAACCGATCAACTGGGGTTGTTTTTTTCCTAAATGGCACCTGATCCCACATTCACATGTTGTCTACTTTATATTGACTAAGGCAAAAAAACATATCAATTTGCTTGATGTTACTTTTAAATATGTTCTATTCTAATGCATTTTGAATAAAAAAAATTATTTATTTTTTACTCTTCACAATAACATATCAAATTTCAATACATAACATTAAGAGCTACTTGGGTTGTTTCGGTCTAATTCAGGGTATTTTGATATCCTGGCATGTTGTATTTTTGACTTATGTGTTATACATGCACTAGACTAAGTATGTTAATTGCAATGATTTATTGCAAACTTTAAATTTGGGAGGTGCGGGCAGTAGAGAAAACTTTGTATCTGTTAATGAAATACTAGTAGTATAACCAAATTGAAGTTTTGTTTCTACTTTGTTTATTTGCAACAATATACATACTAGGAGATGTGGATTTTAGCCTCTTGTATTTCTAACTAGTTCTTTTAGTATGTATTGGGTGATAATTTCTGTATGCATAATGAAAATGAGGTCCAATAAGTAAACAATACTATGGTATAAATGCCAAAAATTACGTTTTCTTTAAATTGGCCTTGCAGGGGGAAATCATTTCTTGACCTTTATTTCGACTGATCATGAATGATCAAGATGTCATTAAATAGGACTACAGGATCTTTCTGTTCATTTGGTTAGCTCCTATGATTAGAAGTCTGTAGAGTCTACATCAATTTTAAAATTTAGTTTCACATAAAATATTGCATGTTTGTTAACTTTCAGAATCTTTTTTTTAATTGTTAATGTGTATGTGTAAACCAGTTAATTTGAAGAATATGACAAGAATATGATAATATGAATACCTTCACATTACTCTCACAGTCCATTGTTGTCAGAAATTGGTCCCCCGCCATGACAGAGAACATGCCGTGACTCTTGGTGGGATCATTCACATTGCAGGCAATTCTGCGCGCTTGGAGCATCATTCCCTCAAAATACGTCACATCGTGTAGGCCAGTAGAATTCACCGTTACTAAAAAAGATGTCAAAAGCATAAGCTGCAATAAAATACGTCACATCGTGTAGGCCAGTAGAATTCACCGTTACTAAAAATAGATGTCAATAAACATAAGCTGCAATAAAATACATCACATTCTGTAGGCCAGTCGAATTCAGCGTTTCTAAAAAAAGATGTCAGTAAATATAAGCTGTAACAATACGTCACATCATGTGGGCGAGTCGAATTCACCGTTACTAAGAAGATGTTACTTAGCATAAGCTGCAATGAAATACGTCACATCGTGTACAGGCCAGTCGAATTCACCGTTGCTAAAAAAAAGATGTCAATAAACAATAAGTTGCAATAAAATATGTCACATCGTGACCTGACGTTGTGTTTTTCTTATTAAACTTAAAGAAATTCTAATGCAAAAGTCAAAATGAATTGGGCAATTAGTGTAAAAAATTGTTCTTGATAAAATTTGATTATCAAAATTTTTGATTGCAGTTGCGACATTACTTTTTCGATTAACTCTCGTACATTAAGTTCAAATGCATTTTAAAATAGCAATGCACAATTGAAGAAAAAAAAAGAATTTTACTGTCTTACTCTCGATGACATCATTCGGCTTGTATGTCGTTGCGTTGACCAATATTTCATATGGAGAGACACTTGTTTGTGAATTGACCCCATGACCTTTTGGAAACATTCTTGCGCATGCCCCTAGTGGAGGTCCATAAGAATAGGATGTCACTTCCGGTGTGAACGCCAAGGAGATCAGACAAATCAAACTCCACATCGTGACTTAAAGTCTGCTAAAAATAAATATGTACGTATTATTACTTTAAGAAATAAAGAAAAAAAGATCAAAACATATTTGCAATGTGTGGTGAAGGGACAGATACTGGCATATCTATTGAAAAACGGCTGAGTAGAGATTTTTATTTTAGAGATTCTATTTTAGAGAATATTTCTCGGAAAAAAAAAATAAAACCGCCACAATCTGCTGCTGCATTTCATCCGTCACATACACCCAAAAATTTGAAGTTTCAAAAACTTTAAAGGGAACGTTTGGTCAAAATTATACATAAAACTGTACCTCTCATATAAAAAGAAAGCTGCATCTTACAACATTGCACTGCTGATAACAGCTAGCAGATAAATTCAATTTTTATAGCTTATAATTGGTGCAGCATGGTGAAAACCTTATCATGGCCGCTGCTGACGTAGTGTAGACATGTATAGAGTCAATGTGTTTATGACTGCAGAGAAATAAAATTCCTTACATCAGAAATAAACTAATTCAAGCAATTGTTTATGTATAGGAGATAGATTTACATCCTTCTTGGACACATTTGAACTTTAAAAAGTTTGAATTACAATCAAATAAAATATACAACCTTTGCAGCTAAGTTTTTAATTAAAGTTAAATCCCGGCCAGTTTATGACTTTTTATTATTAATTCCTTCTTTTATTTTCCTGAATTCTGAAACACTAGAAGCATATTAGAATGTGAAATTATATTTCCTTTATTTAAATTCAGATTCAAAATGATATCACAAGCACTTAATTTGCACAATTTCACGATGTGATTCCAACATGATAATGTTTACACTTAGAGCCAATGTCTCCCCGAAGACATCATAAAAGTGAGGATTGTGGGAAATATTTAGCAAGCGCGATAACTTTATCTCTCAACATGGCAGCCTCCAGCAGCCAGTGAACTCATAACTTTGGTGTCTTATTACTTTATAATCAAGTAAAAACAAATGGCAGTATCAGGTAAAATTCATTAATGACCATTCAATGAATGAAATATCAAAAAGTTATTCTAGACCCGACGTTTCCTTCAAGATGAAATTAAATTTTTAATATATTTTTGTGTGAAATGCTGTCATGTTGTAAATTTTGAATTTACCGGGTGGCAGTGAATACAAAGTTTACAACATGACATGTTGTAAATTTTGTATTTATTGCCACCCGGTACATTCAGAATTTACAACATGACAATGCTATTAAAATATATAAGTCGTGATATTATACAGAAAATATTAACTTCAAATCTGTGTCCATGCACCTTTAACGCAATGAAAGTAAAATTGCCAAAGTTTTAAATTCTCTTAATCAATCCGTTTAATGAAAATTTGCCCACTTGTGATATCAGTCGACTTTGATCTGAAAAACGAACTTGGGTGCCTTGTGGGAAAGCTATTTTTTGGTACTATAATTTAAATTAAGCATTGCTTTACAGATCTGGAAGGAAATATTCTAAAGTTTTTGGTAAGAATATAACTATACATTTTAGCACAAATTTATTATTTATGTACCTTTAAAACTATTTCTTATAAAGCTACTTTAAAAGAATACAACACTTCCAATGTTTTCCTGGGCAGTCCAAAATTTCTCGACCGCTATGACGTTTTTTAAACGTCATATAAGATTATCTTTTATCAACTATCGCAAACAAATAAGCCTAATAGCAAGATAATAAAATATCCAATGGTAAAAGATAAAAGAAAACATTTTCTGGTAAAATGCGTTTTGTCAACCCAGCAAACCAAACTGTTTGTCTTCAGCCTTTTGATTTCAGGCAAACAGTTAATTGTTTCTTGACCCAGATAAAACGCATTGAATTGCCTTTGAATCTAATCATTTATTGCATAATATTGTAATGCATTTTTAATCATCTCTCTTCAATTTAGCATAATCAGAGGGAAAAATAGCAAGCTTGAGAAAGCAATGATGACGCGCAAAATCTAGTTGGTCTCACACGAATCCTCTAGGTCACACAAGAAAAAAATTCGGTCACACATTACTGGCGGAGGTCATACGTCCTTTAGGTATATACACACTCCTATCAGTAATTATTGTTATAAAACAAACTATAAAATTAGTACTTCAATAGTAGCACCGAAGTGGCAAATAACTCGGGGTGTTCAGTTTTACTTTATTGTGTCCCTGGTCAGGAATTTTGTAATGTGGACAATATAAAATTTATCACATCAGATTTGACAAAAGATCAAGCAAACAAACACTGAGTCGTGTTGTCTTTATAACATATCTTGGAGGAAATTATCTTGATATATATTGATTAAAGAACCATTCAGTTCTAGTGTCTAAATTCACTTGTGAGAGTCCCTGTCTTTATACCGAACTTAATTGTTCTTGAGTAAGCCTTTGAACCTTCGTAGCGTAATTATATAATATGCATATGTCTCAAGTCTCCATACTATAATCAGAAAGGTAACTTGTGTTTATAATAGCCAGTACAGGTGTGTTTAACCTCACACCTCAAAAAGTAAATTAAATTTAATCAAGTCTAACAATTCAAAAGGTCAGTTTGAAATGTATAAATGATTTTTTCATCTACATCCTGAAGGATTCTGAAAACTGCAAGACCTCAGTTTTCATTTAAAAGGAAAAGAAAATTACGTTTAAACTAGCAGTTTTGCAGAGAAAGTGGCGTTTATACTACCTGAAAGAAGAGCAATTCGGGAACACTTTCCAATGAAAATTTTTCATTGAACATTTACACATATAATACAGGTTTGCTAATTAAGAAGTTTTCAGAATGTATGAATATGAGCGTCAACTCCATAAAAGTGACCGTTATCTTGTGTGTTCTAAGTTCCACTACTTTGCGATTTTAGAATTATATCAATTTTGCTGAGTTAGAGAATAAGTCACGTTTTTTATTTACTTTATCATCGATTCGAAGTCGCAGGCAATTTTAGTAATTTAATTTACTCATGTTACAAATTGTACCAGGTACTATCTCGCATGAAAAATTAAGTAAATCTTAAGTAAAATCTAATGACTCAATGCAAACTTTCCTCATGATCAAACTTTACGACTTAGGATTATCATATTGCTTACATCTATGTCCTATTCGGGAAATCATCCAATTTTATAGTTATGTATTGCAGGATATAATTTTGTTAAAAAAGAGGCCGATTTGCCACATTGCAAAACTTAAAAATTTGGCTGGGAAAAAACACAAATCAATCTAGTACAAAAAAGTTTAAAGTTATATAAAAGTGTTTCGGGAGAGGTGGTGATTTGAACAAAACTGAATTTATACGCCATGCCCGAGGATGCTTCTAAGGAAATAATAATTAATTTATAATGGATTTGATGTTCTTGATGAGAATTTTTTTATTAATATACAGCATCCTTCACATTCCTTTGTATAATTTTGTTTCTCTGTTATGACACCTCTTTACCCAAAGGGGGTGATGGGGCCATGATTTGAATCTATACTACATGAGGATGTTTCTTCATCAATATGACCAATCACTGGTTTTGTTGTTCTTGAGAAGAAGAGTTTTTAAAGATTTGCCCTTTGCATTCATTGTAAAAGCTCATCGTAGCCCCATCCAGATTAAATTCTATACACCTGAGAATGTTCCCATATTAATATGAGTAAACAAAGTAGCTGAGAAGATTTTTAAAGTTTTTCCCCAATGTATTACTATGTATTAATTGCCCATTGTGGTCTAATCCTTACCCGTGGTTCATAACTTGAACAAAATCTACACTATCTGAGGATAATTCCACACAAGTTTTTTATTTTCAAGTACAGTGTTTTTTTTTAACATACCATTATTTTTTCATGAATTCTTAATTATCTCCCTTTTTGAAGAAGACGTGGCCAAACAAAACCTAAGGATAAGTGGCAAGTTTGGCTGAAATTAGGCAGGTGGCTCTTGAGAAGAAGATGAAAAGTGAGAAAGTTAACATGCAGACCGACTATAAAACGCCATACAAAATTTGATTTAAAAAGCTCACTTGAGTCTTCGGCTCAGGTGAGCTAATAAAAGGGACACAAGATTGTTTAAATACTTGTGACCAAAAATGTAAAAATGCCAGTTTAAAATCGATAATTTTCGAGGTAATAATCCACATATACGGTCAATTTTATACTTTTACGCTTTATCATTATAAATAATTGAAGGTTTTTTTATGTTGTTAAACCCCCTCCGATTACCTCTGTTTTCTACATTTATTTAATAGTAACAGGTTCCCATAATAAAAACGTAGCTTATGGCTTATAATTGAATTATTAAAGTATACCCCTAACATATAAATAAGTAATAAAGTTTGGATCGTTACGAATTTGCCATGCAGGCATGCTCAAGAAGTTGCCCGCATCACGTCCGCATCCTTGCTTATAGTCATTCTTGAATAGAAAAGAAATCTTACGATAAAATGCCTGAGAATCCTGAGAAGCAAGTTAGGTGAACTTGATTGAGGACGTACCGGTGTAGTGCAGTAATTGCGCGCTTTCTGAAATCTTGTAATGCATGTCAGATAAACGAAGGTGACATTCTGGTCATGATGGGAAAAACTCAAACAAATCGGAAGACAATTGTGTGAGCACTATAGCAACCACTAATGATATAACGAAGTTTAATGATTAGAAATATCACTAAACGTTGCAATGTATCGCTTAGTGTTATACATCATTGCATTAATAGGTGACATGTTCATCCGCTTGATGATGTAATTCTTTCATTAAGCGGCGATTTAGCATTAGTGGTTGTAAAGGTCAAACATTAGTACAGTAATTTATGGCATTAAACGTTGCAGTTGCAACGCTTAATGATATTTGTATCATTAAGCGGCGTTATATCATTAGCGGCTGCAACATTGTAGAGGACGAACAGAGAGAGTGGCGTTGGGGGAGACCTTCATACAAGGTGATTAAGTGAGGGGTATTTCAGCTTCGTTGTGTTTTTCCCTTCAAACCCATGATTATTACTACCTATACATATAGGTTAACTGCAAATGTACTACTAGATAAAGTCGAATAAGATGTACAGAGATTTCTAATTGATTCTTTTTAATCTTAATCTTCTTAATCAATTCTAAACCAATCTAACAGAAAATGAAGACAAGTGGTCCTTAGGTAAGAGTGGTTCATGTTCAAACCAGAGGCCATGATATTCACAAATTTGAAAGAGGCACCAGTGCTCATTATAACTATACATTCAGTTGGGATAGTTAAGCAGAGTAAGGAGAAAATACATTTCAACTAATCAGTTTTATTCAGCAAAAGACGTTACTCACTAGAGGCCAAACCCATAGGAAACCCTGACCCTGGGTCCACATTTTCACAATTTTTGAAAAGGCACCCTTGCTCATTACATAAATGTTTGATTGATACCAAGGAGCAGATTTCAAAGCATTAATTTATTTTCAGTATATAACTAAGCCCCCCTCCACGATACCCCTGACCCAGGGGTCTTACCTATGGACATGCAATTCACAAATCTGGAAGGACCATTGCTCATCATAGCTATATAGTTAGTTCATCTGCTTCATACCCAGGAACAGAGGAGAAAACTTTCAAAAAATCAATGCACTTCAATATTTTATTTTTATTGCTGTACACTAACATTAGAAACCCCTGACCTGGGGCCAGGCAATTTACAATTATTTACAATTTCAGAAGAGGCATCGATCCTTCCTCATTATAACTATTTGATCCATGTATGTTGTTAGTTTGTTTAATACCCGGTAGCAGAGAAGAATATTTTCAAAGAATTACTGTATTTTCACTTTATAATCAATAGAGCCCCACCCTAAAACCAGAATACCCGACACACGGGCCATGAAATTCATAATTCTAGAAGAAGCATTCCTGTTCATTATAACTATGTATTTAGTTAGTTTGTTAAATACCCAAGAGCAGGGAAGGAGATCTGCAAAGAATTTATACATTTTCGTAATATAATCAATATGGTACCCCCACAGGGGCCTGTAACATACTGTATTTGATTTTACGTAATCACTATATATACACAAAAAATCTTTTTTTGTGATTACGTAAAATCAAATAC